GGAGGCATTCTGTGAGGCTTTGAAAGCAGTGTGGTTGACCATACCTGATACACTGATCCGTCGCCTCATTCACAGCATGCAGGACCGCATCAATGCTGTTATTAAGGCAGATGGTTACCAAACAAAATACTAGGCTTTTACGAGTAAAATGAGCCATAAACCATTTGATTTAGTCTATTATTGGTGATGCTGCAACTACTCAAAGTTGTAATGGAAATGTTGGTGAGGTGGCTCGTGCCGATGCGCGCCCAGATTAAAGGAAGGTGACTGTACATGCATTTGAAGATCTGACCGCTCGATGGAGAAATTGTAACGGCGGTATGAGTCTCGTTGATCAACGGCCACGAACGACGAACGACAAACGAACACGTGGACCTTACAGACTCTGTGTTAAGATGAGCCTTTAAAAACTGCTACAGAACACTTCAGATCAACTTTGATGGACAGGTATGTGCGCCACGATGGTAGTCTCAACTAAGCAAATGTGTCAACAGGACATCAAGCTGTGGACAGTAGAAGCACTTGTCACAGCTCCTACGTTGTTCATAGAGTTTGGCGCACTACTTTGGGTACCTATGCCCTTAGGCATGGGCAGACGCCCAGTGTTTTTGCTTGCAGCGTTGATGATGCTGCTTGCGAAGACTAGCGCTGGCTATGCATCGATTTCTACCAGCTTCACATTTGCCTATGTTTCCTTGGCTTGGTGAGGGGTTCTCATTAACACCCATACGCAGCCTCCCCTTCCATATGATTTCCCAAATGCTGACATCCGAAGGCTCTCCTTATGATGGTTTATATGACCTTCATTCACCAACGCCCCAAAGCGGTTGCACTTCCCTGGTCACTAGCTGGCATCATGGGTACAGGATCGCTGGCCGTTGTTCCTTATATTTCTTCACATGGCGGAGACTGGCGACAGCTCTACCACTTCTGGCCTATCCCTATGGCCATCTCCTTTGTTCTGGTTTTTCTCCCATATCCCCAAACCTACTTCAAGCGACCTACTGTAGCCTTCGATGGGCGGATACTGCTGCAAACTGTTATCTAGAAGCTTACGATCTACAAGCACGACGAAGCCAGCTCTGGCATCTACTGCGATCTACCTGACCTGCCTTCAGGCTTACAACGCAATGGCTTCAACGGCCTACGTGATCGTCCTGGTCTCTCTCGATCACCCTTAGCATCCTGGACAGCTGTAGGGCATTGCTGCTACCAAATAGCATTTTGTGCCGTAAACTCACTCATCTTCTGGGTCTTCATCGCATCATCGGTCAACTTCGCTGGCATGCTCATCATTGGCACCACATACGCACAGATCCTACAATCACCTCCCTACAACTTCTCATCGGTACTAATCATGAACGTCAATATTTGCTCCGACGTCGGCGCACTCTTTGCATTCCCGTTGGGCGGTGTTCTCATTGGCAAAATTCCGAACCGTCTCGCAAGGCGCAATAGAGGCGTGCCCGAGGCTGAGCACCTTCTCCTTGGCTACTTCCTTCCTGTCGTTATAGGCGCTCTCAGCACTTTTATCTACGGCTTCGCTGCTCGATGCAAAATCCACCTCGCCTTTTACTACCTCGCATATGGGCTCATTGGCTTCTCTTGGAGTACTCTATCGATTAGCAATACCATGTGGGTCACTGAAGCGTTCCCGCAATGAGCTGCCCCAGCGATCGGTGTCTTGGGTGGGTGCTGCTGTTTTTGAGCTTCTCCATGAGCTTCTGCTTGGTACCCTGTATCGAAGCACATGGATACAAGCTTGTCGGCATCGAGCTTGCATTCCTGCAGATTGTAGGTGGCCTAGTCACAGTACCGATCGGACTCTGGGGCAAAAACGCACGGCAAGCGATTCACAGCGAGTGGGCAGATGAACGAACTTGTGCGCTCCGACCTTTGTAGCGAATGTGTTTTGTAACCACATCCTACTTACGATTTTCTTTTGTCATAATCTATGGTATCACTTCACGCTTCGTCTTCAGCCCTTCCATGCGCTTCTGCTCCTTCCCCATCAACATCGCTAGCGGACCCTTCGGCACATCCTTACGATCCAGGAACAGCTCCACCATCCTCAAACCTGTCCCTTCCGTAAGCTCCTTGCTTGACAACACCTTCTCAAGCTCACCCCAAGTCCTAGCCTGTGCTGTGAAAGTACCTTCTTTCGCGCCAAAGAAACTTGGTGCACCCAGATATCTCCAAGCCGCGACATCATTATACGACTCCTTCAGCCCATGAATAGCCCTCTCAATCGTGTACCCATCGTTGTTGAGCACTACAATGATGACATTGAGATCGTGCCGTATCATAGTCGAAATCTCTTGCACCGTCATCTGCAGACTTCCATCGCCAATGAATAAGATTGTGCGACCGTTATTTGCCTTCTTGCCATCCGTAGCACCATTTGATTGAGCCTGCATCTGCCGCTGTGCTAGCGCAGCTCCTTGCGCCGCTGGCAGCATATACCCAATCGACAACCAGGTCACAGGCGCGAAGATCCGGACGTTGGGTGGTGTGCGCATTTCGCGCACGCCGTAGCCGGAGGTGCCGGTCTCCCCCATAACGATATCGCCGGGGCGGATGAAGGAGGTGAAGAGGTCCCAGAGCTTGGAGTGAGCGATTACTTCATCTTTTGCTACCGTCGAAAATGAAATCGATGAAGAGTCGTGCCACGATAGACCTTGCAGGTCTGATGCTGAGTACTGTGCGATCTTAGAGATGTCGAGCTGTTTGCGTAGCTGAGAGACAGCTAGTCGTGCCGGGATATCTCGTAAAATTGTGCTTCCAATCTCGATCTCGTTGTCTGAGAAGATGATGCTGAGCTCGGGGTTGGGCTTTGCTGTCAATGCATAAGAGTTTGTTGTGCTGAAGTGTGGACCAAAGATCAACACCAAGTCTGCCTGCTCAAAGAAGTTCTGGATTGATTGATCGTCAAAAGCTCCTTTGTACACGCCTTGAAAGTTGGGCAGGCTCTCATCGATAAGGCCTCGTCCGTACGATGTCGTCCAAGTGGGGCACTTGGTAGCTTCAACGATCGATTGCACCTCCTTGGTGATGTTAAGCGCTCTGCATTCGCCATCGAACAAGACGATTGGACGATTGGCTGCGTATAGCTTGTCGAGTACTTGACTTATGGCGTCGCTTGTTGCTGGTGTCACGAGGGTTTCAGGGAGCTTGAGCGGATTCTTGAGGTTTGCTGACCGGACCGGTACCTCTACAAGGTCGACTGGGACTTCGATGTACACTGGCCTGCTATGTATCAGACATTGCTGCAGCACGCGATCGATTTCCTGGGGTGCTGTAAGTGGATCTCTCAGGCTGGTTTGTGCCACTGTAACGTGGGCGTGCATCTGGCCGAATCGTCGAAAGTTGCCATCGTTGAATGTGTGGTGAACGCGAACTTTTCCATCCTGGGTTGCGCGATTCGGTGTCCCAACAATGTGAACAACGGGCGCTCGCTCAGCATATGCACCGGCAATAGCATTGATCGCTGAAAGTTCGCCAACCCCGAAAGTGGTAACTAATGCACCAATACCTCGGATCCTACTGTAGCCGTCGGCGGCATACCCAGCATTCAGCTCATTGGTATTGCCAACCCAGAGCAAACCTGAGGGCTCGACAAAATCGAGCAAGTCAAGATTGAAGTCACCTGAAGAATAGATCAATATCAACAGAAGTCAAGACAAGCCGCTGAAGGCTTACCTGGCACTCCATGAACCGCGCTAGCGCCCAACTGGTTCAATCGTGTGAACAGATACTCCGCAAGTTTAACAGTGTCCGTCATCTTTGTGGGGTAGACGCTTGGCAGTATATGGACTTGGCTGGGGCTCGAAGCTGTATTTATATCAGTGCAGCTCGGTCTTTGATGTTGTAAAGTGAACAGCGTGTGCAGCGCCTGTAAGGACAAATGTGGGGCAGCTTCCGTTCACCTTGAGCCGAACGGAAGCCGCGGTCGGAGAACTTGATATTCACGCCGGCGCTACGAGTACATCACTCCGGCGCTAAACGTTTCTACAACACAATGACTGCACATCACGACTTCACTGCCGCAAAGACGACAACTACGATGCCATCGCTACAAATCCCCGGCAAAAGGCACTCCGCTCCATAAGGCCACTTGTAAGCCACAACGTACGTTCACCACGCGTCCCAAACGCGCCAAAGTACTCCAGGACGGGTGGCGCACGTTGATTCGAACGATAGCAATGTCACGAAGACTTCCGGCTTGCAACCCATGTCAGTCGTCAAAACTGTCATGCGATCACGCGAAACCCATATGTTCGCGATGCAGGAACAGGGATATGGTTGATAGGTGCTCATATCGAGATCGACCCTTCAAGAAGAGAAAAGCACAAGCTTTACTTGACAACACGCATGCAGTACCGCAGAGCACTCTTGCCAACCTGACTGTGTCTACACTATCCGAAGGTGTCTCAAGGAAGTCGCGCCGTTACCCCAATCCTGGATACCTTGGATCATCTAGCCACACTACCCTCTTTGATCATCTTTCCGGCAACGATCAGCGCCATGTGACGACCAATTCCCAGGAAGACATGAACGATGATCCCAGTGCCCTCGGTTGCGCTGTGACTGATGATCGGCTTGAACAAGGCGCAGCATTCATTATCCACGTCCGTGCTTCCGCACGACTTTTGGCCTGGAAGTCTCTTATCCATGCATGGGTGAGTGAAGGCATCAACCTACCCGTTGCTGAGCCCTTTACCATATCTTGCGCAACTGTAGCCTGCTTTACCATTAACCAATGCGGCAATGAGGTTGCGGAAAGCCCTGGAAGCCTCCAGGCTCCCGCAAGAACGTCGAGACAGCTCTTCACACAGTCTTGTAAGCCCCTAAAGATGGCTGCTGGCGACACGATTGAGGACTTCTGCGAGCTCTTTTGTAGGAATGCTGCTCGCTGGGAGACGCTTGGTATATTCTTTACAGCCGTTTCGCGTGCGACCATCGACATCACACATTTCGACAGTTTATACAGCTCGGAGCAGGAGCGTCGAGCCCTTCGTAAACTTGCGATGCGGTTTTCGGATACCTGCCTTGATATCGCACTCTCACTGGACTGCTTAAACGACTTACAGCTTGTTTTGCAGTACGAGAACTTCATTTTGCATTCACTAGTAGACGGAGATCAGAGTGAGTCACTACCCTTCTTACAACATCCATGAGTATTTGAGTCGAGTTTCCAGCGTCTGGTGATTTGCCTGGGCTCTCTGTAGGCGCCTGCTCATGACTAGCATTGTTACTTGTGCATTGAGCGAAGACCGCATACCCCCATAACGTACGAAACGTCATGAATACCATTTCCAAGACACACTTCGGTACTCCTGCTAACGACTTAGGCTACCATTCCTGGCGCAAACTGGGAGATGTCGTCAGTTCACTGTTCGCTTTAGGCTACCATGAACAGCTCGGAAGCGCCTCGGTTACGCCACTTTTCTTGCGAGAACTTCGATTTGTATCGTTCAGCCGAACCTACTCTGCTGACAAAAACTGCTCAATTTTCCTTGGCAGACCACCGCGCATGCTCAAGCGTTATTGTCCAACGGCTGACCTGCCCGAGACATGGGAAACGGGCGAACGTTTTACCTATCGGGCAGACACTCGTGTTCACAGCATTTGCGCTTCATTGAAGGAGGATGTCCTAGATCTGCAAAAGGAGGACCAAATAATAAGGATACAGAAAGCGAAGTGTGTCCCGCGTAATTTGTGACCCGGGTCCTGGCTGACTAGACCTAGCCATATACGAGACGCCACTGAAATGCAATGGGCAGCAATCCCGACAGCTCTCAGGCTCGACAGACCACTATCCTCCTACAATCAACGTCATGTAGAGGTTGACTTTTTGGTCAGCGCGAAGCTGAACTTTGCGCATGTCAAGTTCCTTCTAGAGCTTACTATAACGCCTCGTGTTTCGAACCCCGGCATCGAGCTACTTCGTACATCGGCAGATATGCTCAGCCTGGTTGTGGAAGCAATCGTGCTCAAACAACGTTTGGCGAACTCCGGAACATCACTGGTATGGAAGGTACGTATCTATCTGCTGGCTTTTTTGCCGAACTTTAGAATGGTTGACAGCTAGCGGTTACTGCCGGCTCGTCATACGCATTTCTGCGAAAGTTCATATGTCGTTCGACGCGTCACTTTCTATCCTTGCGCTACCTCACTCTTTTACCATGCATAAGATTGGTATGACAAGCTGAGTTGACATAGGTTGCTTATTACGGGCTTGCTGCAGCAGGTGTTCTCTGCCTGGCATTGCTCTACAGCACGTTCGACCGCGCTGCACCAGACGCGACACCCTCCAAATCCATTCGCGATCTGAGTGTGCTTGTTGCTGAGATTGAGACGGGCGCTTTGCTTCAGCCAGAAGACCCCAACTATGCACTGCTATCTGGTGCTGCTCGTACCATCAAGAACCTTCTGGATCGTTTGATCACTAACAAATTCACCGCTCAAGCGGACACACAGCCACTCATCGATGTTTTGGCGCAACCTCCACTTCGATATAGCGACGATGAACTGATTACCTGGGACACACATGGGTTGCAGGACTTCGACCCAGAATTCTGGTTGAACCTATCCGAACATCCCTTCTTAATGACCTCTGAGAGCGGGATGTTGCAATGATGCAATAGGGACGTCTGTCGGCAAACTGAATCACAGCCAACTCGAGGCCACTCTCGGAGGCTGCTGCGAATGTCAAGCGGGACTGAACAGCTCCAATCGTGAATGTGGCAGGTTCTTCGAACCAACTGCCCTCGCTGACGAATCCACCGTTGGCTTTTGCTCCATTGTAAATTTTGTCTTCAGAGTCGCTGCCAGTTATGCGATCATCACCAGCCGTGGGCTCAGAATGCAGATTAACGCTAACCCAGAGGAACATGCCTTCGTCTGGCAACACCCAGAAGCAATGGTCATGAGGCAGGTACTCTGTGCATGCCTTCGCCAGAATCATCAGCCGTCGACTGCACCTTTCCAAAAGGCTTATCAACCAGCGGACGAATCCATCGTGCCCCCAGGTCTCGTCAAGCAACTTGTATAGCATGACTTGCGACACGCCATTGGCAGACACTTAAGATACATCAGTGCGGGCGAGGAACTTGGCGATAGTTAATGAGCACGCTGTGATCCATCCGCAGCGGAAACCCGGTGCTAGGATCTTCGATGTTGAGTGCATACGAACAATTTGGCCAGAAGTACGATTCGGACAAGCGGTCGAGGTAGTGATCTTGATATGATGGAGCTAGCCCATTCTGCTGCGAGGCTGAGTCCTTAGAGCGCAATTACATAAACATGTATGGGTCATAGTAGATGATCAGAAAACCGTGTGACTTGGCAACGGCGTAAATTGCTCTCCGTCGTTCAAGAGGCTGAGTGATGCCAGTTAGATTGTGACCTCCTGGGGTTATATACGATACAGTCGGTTTCTTTCCTCTCGCCGGATCCTAGTCCTTGAACTTGGAGTTGAGGTCTGCAGGCAGCAGTCACTCTACATCCATCCCCACCCCAGCTCTGTTCAAGCCCTGCGACTTCAGAGCATCGAAGGTCCCGGAATACATGTATTGCTCCACAAGTACGATGTCGCCAGGGTTGCAGAGAATGTGCAGCCCAAGATAGATCGCAGAGCTTGTCCCAGAAGTGATTGTGCACTCCCAGTCGATGTACGGTGGATCGTGTATCATCTCGACGTGCTCAGTGACGAAGCGAAGGAACTGTGGCGAACCCGCGGAATGGCCGTAATTCAGGGCAACAGCAAGATCGTATGCGGCCTCGCCGCTGGTATAGGCTGCTTCGGCATTAGAAGGACCCTCATCGCCGCTCTCAGTACACATGGACAGAGATGCCCATGGATAGAAGGCGAGGTACCTTCAAGCGATGACGTGCTGCAAATCTGACATGATGGAAGACGAAAACCTTGTGTGATAACAGAAAATATCCGCATCTTCTTTATTAGTATTAAATTACATTATTCGAGCCTTGCTTCTTGTTATGCCTAGATTCTACAAGAGCAGTCCACCGTAGAAACTTGCGACCACACCGAGAAGACCACCTTGAAAGACAATGGATTTGACTGAAGCCGCACCGGTCGAAGGTGTTGCTGAGGCAGTCGCAGTGTGAACGACACCACTCGCAGACGCGCTGTTGGTGCCAACAATCTGAGTAACGCTCGCAGTGGTTGTGCCTGCTGCACTTCCACTACCACTGCGACTCGCGCTGCCGATTGCACCCGCGCTTCCGGTCGCAGTAGCCTGCGTACCTCCCAGCTTCTCCGCTCCACTTGTCACAGTGACCGGCAGAGCAGCAATATTCTCGCCCTCATACGTCGTCGTACTGCTACCAGGGAAGTTCGCCTCGCTTCCAGTTGCGAACTCTGCGCAAGTGACTGTTGCCCCACGGGAGCAGTCTACAGTGCCTGTGAAGGCATTCGCATCGCCAACGCCCATGTCCAAATGATATGTCGAAGGGCCGTATACAAGCGTCATGTAGGGGAACAGACCGCAGTCGTTCGAATCTGTGCCGGAAGGGCAGGCGAGTTGCATGGTGGTGGCAGATGGGTTCGCGGAGACGACCGATGCCTCGATGGCTTGGGTGTCGAAGCCATAGAATGGAATAGAGAGCGTCGTGGATTGCGCTGCGGCGAATCCAATGAGGGATGCGAGAACGAATGTCGGTGTCATTTTGATAAATACACGGATTTTTGGTGATGGTGATGGCGACGGACGCGTCTGAGGAAGAGAGGATGCAGGGAAAGAGCGACAAGAAGAGAAGCGTAGACGGAAGGGTCGGCGGGAAGCAAGAGAAATCTGAGACCTACTGTACTACCTATGGTGTGTTTATCCGCGGTGTCAAGTCATAAGGCGACCGTGCCAGATTGTTCTCAGAATGTGGCGCGCAAAGGGGTTGTTGGAGGCCTGAAGAGGTTGTAAGGAGATGATTGGCTAGATGTCCCTAGCTTGCCCACTTGGTGCTAGCTTGCGGAGTGAAAACTCCCCGGGCGGGCGAGATAAGCAACATCTTACTGATGCTTGTCATCGTCAAGACTTCTAAGCGCGCCGTTCGTGAAACCTGCCATATGACTGTGCTACTGTGCTTTCAACAAAACTCTCTTCTGAGAGGTTTCTCGTCGTAGCTGGCCAGATCATTCTTCCCCTCTTAGCGAACATCCCGTTTGGATTAGGGCGGCTTTGCGACACAATCAAACTGTCATCAATGTGTCCAAACAAACATGTGTTCTGGTAAATCGCTATGTATTCAACAGACAAGGATGATGGGAAGGTGAACTTTAACATTCATGGGTATCATCACTACCATCAGATCATGTGCACGGCCTACCACCTTCCTCCTGGACCTCCACCCATATCACCTCCACCGTGGTGACCACCAGGTCCGCCTCCCATACCTCCACCTCCATGGTGGCCACCAGGACCTCCACCCATGCCTCCTCCAAAACCACCCTGCTGTCCACCGGGCCCGCCAAATCCTCCCTGTCCGCCAGGACCGCCAAATCCTCCACCTCCGTGGTGTTGCTGGCCGCCAAAGCCACCAGGCCCACCCATCCCACCTTCCATGCCGCCGTGATGGTTACCTTCGCCCATGCCACCGCTCATGCTTGGCCCGTTGTTCATGCCGCCGCCGAAGCCGCTTTGCTGAAACTGCTGAGGCTGTTGCTGGTATCCGCCCTGCTGGGGTGGGTGTTGGTTGTGGTTCTGGTTGTTGTGCTTGGGGTCTTTGTGCAGGACCTTTTCCTCGAGCTTGTGCAGGAGACCCATGATAAATGTTTGAGAGCGACTTTGTTGGTTCGAGGTATGTGTGTGATTGCCCGGGATGTAGACCGAAAGTGATTCGAAAGGTTATTTGGAGTTTGAAGATGCTTGTGATGATATCCAGCAAGCTAGACGAGGTTGTGGATCACATATATACTTACAGAGATCTCTCACTCATGCGTCACTGCTCCGAAGTCATCTATGACTTGTCTGCCGCGTCACCTACTAGACTCGGCGCAACTCTAAACACTGCGAAGCAAGATGAAAAGCATTTCTTGCTGTGGACCTTACGCGGCATGACGATGCATTCGTTGATTTTACGCCACACCACGCGGCTGCGACCCACTTGGTTCGGTCCAAGCGGACACGAGGCACGGTGGCTGGTTCAGCCCTGCTTTGCTTGAGGAATGATTTCGTGACGTCTGCATCAAGCCTCTTAATTGCTGTCGGTGATGCGCATCACCAGATAAGAGTGGTTGTGATGTTGAAGGTCTCATCATGGGGGAAATACTCTTCGATGTCCCGTTACGTCATACGTGTGTGGCCGATATCGCTGCTCTTTCAACCTTCAATGTGGCAACAACACTACTGCGTCAATATAGTAACCGGTCATTATACGCTGTCTACCTGTATAGCGTTGATGAGGACCTGATTGTCGCAGGATCAAGTATGTGCGTGGGTTCCGTTCACGAATAGCATATGTAAGCACAAAGGTGCGTATTTCGCATTTAACGCAGGTCCCCAAACAAACTTTGAAAATTCCCACGCTACAACATCGTTATCATTTCGGCCAAAAACTTCAGAACCATTTGATAGTACGCCTGTTAGATGGATCAGGAGGGTTGCAAGGTTCATGTAATGTTCGCTTACACCAACGAGCAGTTGCACCTGGATCCACGGATGTGAGGAAGATATTGTCGTCCAGGCCATCATCAGCGCTGTTGATGTCATGAATACGTACAATCAGCATCGCCGTCCCAAGAGAACGTGCTTCTCCTCTCACTATCGACCTTTACTATCTCATTATGCGATGCTATTGGCGCCCTTGCGGTCAAGGTTCGCCCGGGAGAACGAAGTGAGACTGTCGAATGGAATGAGATTGACCCGGTCGTAGAGATCAACGTGACCGGCGCCTGGCACCCACAGAGATTCCTTTGGCTCACCGGCACGTGCATATGCATCCTCGCTAGACTCGCGCAAATGGGTTTGATCTCCGGAGATAAAGAGCAATGGACGAGGCGAGATAGTCTCAATGTCTTTGAACGGATAGACGTTCAGGAATTTGACATTGCTGGATACAGTTGGGTGTGTTGTCAGTTTTGACGACGAGCCAGGAATTGGGTAACACAGGTATCAGAGACTGGCTCTGCCACAGCTTTTGACACAAATTCCATATCATATCTCTTGTTGGTGGTAAAGTCCTCTACATATTTGACAAGCTCCTCCTCTTGTTGTTGGTTGATGATCTTGGTCGCATGGGGTGCTTGCAAATGCTTCTGTTACCGGCTGAGCGTTGATTGATCAACCTCATGCTTTTTAGCTAATTGAGCATAAGAAAACTTTTCTCCAGGCTTGAAAGCCTCTATCCCTCCAATGACCTCCTTAACTCTTGTTATGGTTGTTATGTTGTGATGCGTTGAAGTTTGATGTACTTTGGTATTGTTGGAGCATCACGCAAATCCGGGCATCACGCGCACAGACACGTTAGCTGATCGGCTCGCATCCGGCTCTCATGTCTTCCTATCCCTTTCTACTTCAACCCAACTGACACCACCATCAAGTCGAAAGCAATTTGTACAGCATCGCCACCAGATCGGGGACTCTCTTCGTACAGCGCCTGCGACGTGTGCGGCACCGTTCCTCCACTCGCCATGTGGTCGCAATGGCTTCGGCAACCCCCACAACGATGAGCGCCAAATACAGTGGAAGAGCTCTCTTCTTTGATCATGGTAATGGGTGGTTACCTCTCTAATATGGATGTGTTCACGCCGACAGTAGATGACTTCAACAAAATGAACATTTGGGACGGGGACGGCGTTCCAACACTATTCCCAACAGATGTCCATTCATCTGCTACGCCACTCTCTGGTCATCGGCAATGTTCCGCTGGCTTTGCGCTCGTTTGTTGAACGCCTCTTGGAAACGCGTGATGGAAAAATCGTTCTTCAATGGTGCCTGGAACAAGTTAAAGTCGTTAACACAGATATGGTACCCACGGATTTGGCTTCAGTCACGCGCGCTCAAGACCTGCGATTTGTACGAAAGAATTTTCTACACGATGCGACGAGCGTAACACATTCCACTTGTTGTACTCTACTTCCGTCGCCACGCGGCTTTACACGCAGCAGCCCCACGCTCGCGGCGCCTCAAACGGCCTATGGATTCGGGACGTTTCAAATCGCGAGCAACCTCATCCTGACATCTATCGACGCACAGTGCACTTTGATGCCTTTTCCGAGTCCTGCGACAAGACAGCCGCGCCGCCACTGCACCAGCGGCTGCCAGCGTCGTGTACCTTCTCTGCTACGTTATGCTCATGATCCTGTCATTACAGCGTCAGAATATTTATGCCGGAGCAGCTGCCTCAGAATGTTTCCCATCTTGTTTCCTCGTTTCTCGGTGCTATTGGATATGAGCATATTGCCTAAGGACTCGTCTTGTTTGGCGAGACGACACTTTGACATGTATGTGTTAGCTGTCAGACAGATACCGACGACGGCTGCCAATGTTTCGCCCAGCTAACGATGATCTGGACCATTGTTGATCGATTACACCTTCATGAAGTGTCCGAGAAATAGATCGATTGGAGCTCCCAACTCGAGTTCGAGACCTTCGCAGAGTCACACTGACAACCGAGCACGGGCACGCGATCAGTTGCAGCTCGCTATCTGCACGACTCGGACGCTAGGTACCCTAGTCATGAGCGTCTCTTCGTATGTCGGAGATCCCCAGCCTGATGAGGCTGCATGAGGCTCTTTCCGCTATCTACACCAAACAGCTGTAGCCGCCTCAGAGGCCCACAGCCCTACGTCAATTTTGCTATCCACGCACACAGCAGGTTCATGCCATGTTTCAAGTGCGCACACTGACATACGATAGCCGCACTGTCTTTACTTATCAAGTTGCATATTATGTTTGCTAATGCATGGCCACTGGCATCATCTCAACCTGAGTTCTTTAACTTCATCTGCTTCTTAAACTTTTTTCCTAATTTTCTTTCACGTTGCCGCTGGTTCGGGTTTCCTTCTCCTTTTTGGGTGCTGTGCATGTTAGTTATCCAACGAAAGGGCAAATAGTTACCCGTGAAACTCGCAATCATGTATCGATCTTCCTACCGCGTCTCACGGTTCCAGGACCTCGAAAGCCAACGCCGCCGAACAGTATGGCCTACAACATATAGAGATGGCATCCAGATCAGCACACCATGGCCCTTGCCTTACGATGCCGCTGCCGAAACGAATCAGCGACTCACAAGCGTCTTCGATACCGAAGGTCGTGCGGCACGCATGAGCGCTATGGTAGAGTCGTCGCTCTTCCCACCACCACTACAGACACGCAACCGACACTCCGCATGGGTTGGAAAGAGCGCGCAACGGCAGACATGGCTTGCACCAGTAGCAGCATCTGATATGAAGGAGCGTGTGTGGTCTGGCGAGTTTGACGTTGAGAGGCGACCTTCGTGGCAGTCGCGAGGATCGGATCGATGGAGTGGCGAGCTAGACATGGAGGATTTCGAGCAGGATGTCAAGAAGGAACCATACCCTGTCGACTGGGAGGAAGACGATGTTGAGAACCCTCTCAACTTCAGTACAGGACGCAAATGGTTCAATGCCATGATGCTTGCCTTTGCTTGCTTCATGGTATCGATCGCATCCTCGGGGTTCTCTCAAGGTACCGAACAGCTCAAGGCCGAGTTCGCTATCTCCCAAACCACTGCGCTTCTCACCACATCGACCTTCGTCCTTGGCTTCGCAGTCGGTGCCCTCATCCTGTCTCCGCTTAGCGAAGTTTACGGCCGTCGCGACCTCTATGTGATGACCTTTGGAGCCTTTGTGGCTTTCAGCGGCGTCGTTGGATTTTCCTCATCCATGACCGTCGTCATTGTCCTGCGCTTCTTTGGTGGCCTTGCTGGCTCCTTCACCCAGGCCGTCGCCCCGGCCGTTGTCGCCGACATGTTCAACGCACAAGACCGCGGTCTTGTCATGTCCATCTTCACTCTTGCCGGCCTCGTGGGTCAGAACCTTGGACCCATCGTTTGTGGCTTTCTTGTCAAAGCGTATGGCTGGCGCGCAATCGCGATCCTCATCACCGGTGCATCAGGCCCAACATGGGTCGTGCTTACCCTTACCTTCCCCGAGACCTACGCTCCCGTGCTTCTTCAACGCCGCGCAAAGAAGCTCACAGCCGAGACCGGAAAGCAACACCAAGTCGCCAACATGTCACCCAAGCCCATTGCACAACAACTCCGCGTCGGCGCGCTTCGACCCTGGATCATGCTGGTCTACGAACCCATCGTCACACTCCTTTCTCTTTTCCTTTCCATCGTTCACGGCACCCTTTTTCTTCTCTTCGCTGCCTACCCCATCGTCTTCCAACAAGTCCGCGGCTGGCCACAAGGTGTCGCTTCGCTGCCTTTCCTCGCTATTATTATTGGCATAATGATTTCGCTTGTCTATGTTGCGCTGGTTGATCAGAAGCGCTACGCGAAAGTGGTTGCGAAGTACGATGGGAATGCACCGCCTGAGGCAAGGTTGCCGCCTGCTATGCTCGGTGCTGCTGCGCTTCCGATTGGTCTCTTCTGGTTCGCATGGACCAATGCGCCAGAACTTCCCTTCATGATTTGCGTTTCTGCGGGCACACTCTTCGGTTTTGGGATGGTGTTGCTGTACATGTCGCTCACGAACTACATCGTTGACGCGTATCTTGGCTACGCTGCATCGGCTCTCGCAGCCAGCACAGTGCTAAGAAGTATCGCAGGCGCCGTGTTCCCGCTATTCACCGCGGATCTGTATTCGAAATTGGGTATTCACTGGGCGAGTAGCGTGCCGGGTTTCTTGGCGCTGGTGTTTATTCCATGTCTCTTTATGTTCTACAAGTGGGGTGATAAGCTGAGGGGGATGACCAAGTTCGGGGCTGAGGCGGCGAGTATGGCGGGGAAATAGATAGTCGTGGTAGATAGCCTTGTGGGAGAATCGAATCTTTGCAAGCAATGGTGGCTGTGTCCTTCCGGATTTGTGAACGATCTTGAGTGCTCATACCGTTCTTCGATACGCTCCACCATTGTTGTCGTTATGAGAAAGTGCTTGATATGTTTCGTAGAAGCCAATGTTCATTGTACTGGGGAATCAATTCTCAAGTCTCGATGCTGCTCTGATATCCTCCAAGGTCCGCCCCACGAGTCCAGAGTCGTGTGCTCCAAGCACCAACCCTAAGCTCTGGTCATTCATAAAGACCTCTATGCCGCACAATAATAACGGCTGCTCGAAATTCGCAAACGTTAAATTTCGAGAACCTCACACGAACATATGCATCAGACTTGTGCACGGGGTTCTTCCCAGTCCATTCGGGTCTTCCAGTCTCCTGCCCAATATCCAAACCCTGTTACCACGCAGCTCTCACTCTTGACTTCTGATGCTACTGTGAACACCTTCTCCACTCAGCTTTCAAATCGAAACTCACACATATCCAAGCAAACTGCGACTGTCGACGTAGTCGTGGGAACCTCCAGAGCTAGATATGCCAGTTTGAAGTCGCACACGCCAAAGGCGAATGCTGCGCACCAAAAACGTCGTGAAGACCTCTAGTCCACGTAATGTTGGTCTCAAATCGCAACCAGCGAATCCAGAATTAGGGCACCACTTCTGGGGGAGGCGACAATGGACGTATTCAGAGCCTTGAAAGCAGCCATGTGCATATTTCGATGAGAGGGCCTCGGTTCCTGTGCTCTTAGTTTGGCGAATGGAGGTCTGGGGTGGAGAAGACTCACTCGATGATGCATCGTGTTGCCCATGATATGCGCAGCGAGTGACTCCTGGAGGCAGTCAGGGTGCTGCAGCCGCCTCCCAGCTGCTTCGTTGCGATAGTCACAGATTGATGATGGACTTTGGAGGTACGATGACGAAGAAAAGGAAGTTCACGCGCGATCGAGTATGTGAGAAGTCAACATCTATACGAAATTCTAGCCTATCTCTTGTACATGTTCGTCGGTCTACATTCTCCAAACTCCAAAACGCCAGTCACGAATCTTCATACAATTATTATCCCTTGCTCAGCGCCAAGTCGCGTTCGTCTAAGAAACACTCACCTCACTATCGATTCTTAATGCGCTGAAAGTACCATTCATTCCACCGAAATCCATTGTACCTACATCATCCATGTTTCCGTAAGGGGCGACAAAGTCATGCGGCCACCAGCACTTGAACTTGCGCTCAAAGCCTGCACCCTTCGGGTAGAACGCGTCGGGAATCTTGTCGCACGAAAACTCGAGTTTTGCAGCGAGCATCGATGTAGGGCAGATTTCAATCTTGCGGTCCGGATCGGAGGAGCAGTCATTGAGGTGGGACTGCTTCGTCCTGTCATTGCTCTCGGTCTGGTAGGATGGTTGGCATAGCGGTAACAGGCCAAGCACCTTGCTAGGTGTATCTGAGCTGTACTTGCAGCCATCAATCTTGCCGTTCTGGTAAGTGAGCGTGATGGTGGTGTTGTCCTTGTTGCGAGGATAAGCCACAGTGAGAAGCATCTTGTACCGCATCTTGAGCTCAGGGTGAGCGTCGCGGTCTTGGGTTTCAATCAAGGTGCTGCCGACTACGTCCACATCCTCTGCATTGAGTCCGAACCAGAAGTGGCCAGCATGGTTCCCGTTGGGGTCTTTAAGCCACCACTCAATCGAAGCATCCTCGTACTCCATCTGCTGAACGAGTTCCAGAGTCCATCGACTGTCACGAGTCCAGGGCTTGGGTGGCGGTGAAGCCCTGTCATCGCCAGGCTCGAATGACATGTGGAACCAGCAATAGCCTCCTCGCTTCTGAATCGATGAGTCGCCGTTATCGTGCCACTTGTTGATACCGTCATCACAGCCAACGTCAGTCGGTCCGAGCTTCCGCATACCACACTGTCGGGCACAATCATCGGTAATCTGCCAAGATTTGCTCTCATCCCGAGTGTTGATTTTCCATTTCGTCCAGCAAATCTCCATACAGCCGGCGGGGAACCTCGAGATCTCGAACTCGATCTCTGACTGCGACGCGCTCGTGGACTCAGTGACGTGCGTGTGGAGTGCATAGCCCATATTCCAACCTGGAGCCCGATCCCATGCTCCGATCTCCTGAGTAAGATTGGCACCAAGGATGTTGTTCCAGCCCGAGCCCGAGCCAGCTTCGCAGCCGTGCTCGTCCCACAGTCGCCACGTAAGAGTCGCGTTGTCGGGCTTCTCCTTGATCTCGTGCTCGACCAACACTGTCCAATTGCCGGTAGGCGAGATCGTGTGGCCTGGTTTGCAAGTCGGAGTAGGCGAGTGTGGCAAGCTTACCGTCGAGTAGCTCGGAGTCGGACTGACAGTGATCTTCGTGCCGGACAAGAACAAAACCGTGGTGAAGGGAGCTCCAGGCTGAGCATTCTCAAAGGTCATGGGGTTTTCCTTCGGACAGGCGGCGGGTCGGCAAGGGCCTTTCTTGCAGTAGTTGATGCTGTCACCACTGTAACACAGTGCTGCAAGACATTCTTTGGCGCACTTCTCGGCGTTGGAGCCGTCTGAATTGCACCTGCCCTTGACGCACTTGTCGAAATATTCGTTACAGGTTGGACAGTTGGCCGGTGCTGGCGTGCCAGAGGGAATGTCAGTACCCCATGGAGGGGTCGTTGACATGCTCAGTATGGACGGTGGAGGTACTCGCGACACTAAAGAGGATGAAGACGTCATAACCATGCTCGTGGATGACACAATGCTCGAGGAGTTGGAGGAAGGTGTAGGCGTCGAGGAGAAGGCCGAAGAGGTTGTAGAGGCCGTGTGAGAGAACGACAACGACAAGCTTGAAGATGTATCGGCAGGCATTTCGTTGTTGCCTTCGTCATCATCTAGTGAGAGCGGTGCGCGAATACAGGCAGGCGCCTCATAAGAGGTCGGCTGCTCGTTGTCTCCCTCATCATCATCCAGCGAGAGTGGGGCGCGAGTACAAGATGGACCTTCGGAAGAGGTTGGCTGCTCGTTATCGCCCTCATCGTTGTTGAGATCGAGCGGGACACGAGAGCACATGGGAGCACTATTGCTCGAGGTCGTCGTGAAGCTGGAGATTGTGGTAGTCGCAGTGGTATCCAGTACACCACAGCCCGTCCGAGTGTACAAAATCGGCGTCAGACACATCGATGTCAACGTGCTCGTAAGTGTGAAGTTGAGTGACGCGATGGTTGTTGGCTCCAGCTTGATGTTCTCTTTGCAATAAACAAGCTTCTCGGTCACCGTCGTCTCCTGTTCCTTCTCACACTTGGTCGGGCGTGTCGGGTTAGGCGTTGGGTTAGGTCCAGGCGTCGGGCCACAACCTTCCGGTTTAGGACACTTGAGGGGACCGCCGCAAATCTCAGGTGGACAGGGATCGCAACCTTGAGGGAGGTTGCAGTATCCATTACAGCCAAATGGCCCACATGGATCAGGATTGGGAGGACCGACACCAGGTGGACAACCGCCGAAGAATAGGCAAGGGTTAGGTCCGAAGAGACCAAGAGGAAAGATGTTCGGTAACTCGGAAGTGATGTCGCATCCAGGGCCAAAAGGAAGACCCATCCATCCGCAACCTGCTTGAAGTCAGTCAAGGTCGTAAAACAAAAGCACTTTCCAGAATAACATACCGCATCCGAACAGGTTGCAGTCATCGTCCTCATCGTCATCCGGCTTGCAAGTCACAACCTTGCAAGGGCAGAAAGGACGCTTGAAGAGGACAAGACTAATGGCATACCATGGAGCACACTCGGCGACGCAGTCATTCGGCACACAGCCTTTCATTAAGCCGCCACCTGGAGGCGCCTCTGTAGAAGTCCCTAGAGGGGGTGTGGTGCCTGTAAGAGTTGGAGTAGTCTCGTCGCCTGGGTGAGTGGTCGCAGTGGCGCCGCCAGTGTTCGCAGGGTCAAAGTTGGTGGTCGAACCGGGCCTGCTCGTCAGATCAGAACCAGGCTTGCCCGTCGGGTCGGAGTCAGGATACTTGGTTTTATCACCGCCAGAGTCCTTAGTCTTGTCATCCTCATGGTCATTGGTTCGGGTCTTGTCATCCTCGTGGTCCTTGGTCTTGGTCGAATCAGGCTTATCATCATCATCGTTAGGTTGCGTGATGATAACAATGATAGTGTTGCCGTGATCATCCGTCGTGGTACGCTCTTGATCTTGTGTCCTGGATACACCCGACGTAAAATCCGGGCTGGAGGTGATGGTGTTACTCCCTCCCTGAGATCCTGAAGATATGGCGGCCGAAGATGCTGCGGTGCTCGACCACTGAGACGATGGTGACGTCTGAGCTGTGCTTGAAGTCATCGAAGCACTCCAGGCGGAGGTCTGGTCTGACGCTGAGGATGCCCATGGAGATCCTCCAATGCTGGAGGTTGCTGACCAAGATGCTGCAGAAGATGCACCAGAAGTAGCCGTGACATTGGAAGCTGGGAACGACGATGCGCTCGCAGAGATCATTGCAGAAGACTGTGGGACTGACTGTGAGAATTCGCCGGTGGTAGCTCTGGACTGGGACGGTGACGAGGTCCACGACGCGACCGACGAGGTTGTGCCGCTTGAAGCTTGGGATGACTGCACAATCGAAGAGGTGGCTGCGGACGACTGCTCAGAGGACGTGCGACTGCTTGAGGACGCATCGGCAGAGCTTGACGCCCAGGCTGAAGTCGTTCCAGTGGCAGTCGTAGAAGCCGAAGCCGAAGACGAAGAAGTACCAGAAGTGCTCGAAGGGGCGGGAGAGGCCGTGGAGGCAACATCCGAGGAGCTGGAGGTCCAGACAGCTGATGAACCCAGAGATGACGTTGCCTCCGAAGTTGCCTGCGAAGAAGACTGGCTAGCAGACGATGAGCTGGATGACACAGATGCAGTGCTTGAGGCAGCTGAAGAAGCCCATGCTGAGCTACCAGAGGATGAGGAGGAGCTGCTGGTGGAAGCCTCCTGTGAGGTTGCAACGCTTGATGACGGCACCGTTGAGCTCACCTCGGAGGCAGTCACGATCGTGGCAGAGGAAGACGGCGAGGACTGCTGTGTCTGCGACGATACAGGCGAAGGCACCACGACGACAGGCGGGGCACCAGTGGAGGCGGCCTCAGACGAAGTCGCAGATGATGCTCCAGAGCTAGCCGGAGGCATGCTTGAGGTCGGCGTAACAGCTAAAGACCAGGCTTGAGACGTCTGGGAGGACGGTGCTACGCTGAAGACGGTCGAAGAATCAGGTGATGGTCCTGTCGACGACGCAGCAGATAACGGTGCGGAATATGGTGCTGAGGATGATGGCGGCACGCTTGAGATAGCGGCGGATGGAGCGACAGAGACAGGAGTCGAAGGAGCAATCGAGACGCCAGGAGCCTGTGCAGAAGAGGCAGCAGAGCTCGACTGCGGTGCACCCGGACCGCCAGGACCGCCGCCGCCGCAAGAAGCGTAGTCGATAGCCCACAGCGTCGTACCACCAAGGCAGCGGTTGTTGGCGAGCTCCATCTTCAGGCCCAGAGTCTCGTTGTCATCGTAGCCAACCCACTGCCCATCAAAGACAATCTGCTTGACACCCGCGCCGCCATCGATGATCTCAGGCTTCAGATTCTTCTGCCTAATGATCCGCTGGATCTCGCACTGCGACAGGACACCTGCGAGCTCGGTGCATTCGCCGGCGTTGGAAGGACCAGTCCACGGGCAATCGTACCGCGCGCAGCTGGCGTCTTCAAGAGTGTATCCGCGACCGTAATTGGCGATACCTAGGTTGATCTTGGAGGGATTCACGTCGTTGAACCAGAACAAGTCGAGGGCGGTGGCGATTTCCTTCAGATCGGTGTGCGGCTTGACGCGGGCGCCTAAGCCAGGAATGGTGGCATCCCAGAGCTGTGTTATGTTAGCATTGTAATCATCGAATATACGATGGATGGGTGTTTACACCGTGGAGATCGTACGCCAAGACATTGAAACTATCGACCTGGGCTTCGAGCGCCTTCGGGTCGATGTTCTTCAAGTACTCATATTGTGCTGGAAGAACGACAGAAAGACCACGTGAGCCTAGAGCCTCGCGGAGCTCCTTCGTGAGGTCGACTTGGTTCTGCTTGTCAATGGCGGGATTTCCACCACGGCTCTCGGCGCCAGGCCACTCCCAGTCAATGTCGACACCCTGGAACTTCCACTTGTCGAGGAACCGAAGCAGTGAGGCAATGAAAGCGCCACGGTTGGCCTTGGCGCTTACCATCTGCGACCACGTGTAACGAGTGGCGCCGGCGTCAGAGAATTCCCAACCGCCTGTAGTGAGTTAGTACGTGTTAGAGTGAGTAGTGTCATGGGCAACTTACCAATGCCGATCCACTTCTTGGAGCCATCCTTGAGGGCGAGGAAGTCTGCGTAGAGCTTCTCGTCGTCAGGGTGCATGGGGCTAACAGCGAAGGTCGTGGGGTCGATGGTGGCGAACGAGAAGATCAGGTGCGTCAGTCCGGCCGTGTCGATGTTGGCTGGCCAAACCTTGTCGCAGGGCCTACGTCGAGTGTTCCCGCTGAATGTTAGTAACTGTCCCAGTGACATTGGAAATGAGCATTGGCCTACCAGCCCTCGTAATAGGCGACCTTGCGGGAAGCTGTACCGCTATCCTTACCACACGTGGGAGTTGACTGCGTGGTGACAGTGCCGCACTTGCCGAATTGCTTCTGGCAGGGCGTGCTCTCGCCAGAGGCGGTGGTGTCGCGACAGAAAGCCTCTGAAGCGCCGCAAAAACCGAAGTATGAGCAGCAGACGTTCAGTGGGCAAGTCCGAGAGCCACCTTTGCTGTTCACGCCGCAGGGGGCCGTAGCATCGCAGTTGGCAACGCAGTTGCTCTTGCAGTGTTCGTCGCGGAAGCCGCATTGACCTGAACAATGTTAGTGAAGCCGCAGTGTAAGACAGACTGGAGTTGATAAACACCTTGGGAGTTGCAGCAGCTACCATCAGCACACGGGTTGGAGGCGCTACACTGGAGTGGACCAGCTGCGCCAAAGGACGTGTTGGAGACACTGTCGGTTTGCCGAAGAATGTAGTCCTCTTCAATGCTGAGCACAGAGAGAACGCCGTCGAGAGAAGCGCGCGGGGCGCCGAAAAAGGTAAGGTTGGAGTTACCATTGCTGGGGCCGACCGCAGTTAGCGCCAGCAAGGCGGAGAAGAGGGACAGCCGCATGGTGTGCGCATGCGCTGTCGGAAGGAAGGAAGAAGCTGTAGATATGTGCTCAATTCGGAAGTTGCGAGCTGAGTCGGTAGCTGCAGCTGGTGGTGAGGAGGAAAAGCAGCTGGGCGAGGTGGGCGAAGATTACAAATGCGGCAGGACCGGCGTAAGTGGGGCGGGGGTGAAGTGAAGGTAGGTCGCAAGGAAAAGCCGGTCTGGAGGTAGTTGCTGATGCGACAGACTCGGGGGCTTCCCGAGGTTGGGGATACCTTCACCCAGATTGTGCTCTGCTTGTGTCGCCCAACCTGATACATGCAGGTACTCGATCTCTGTGCACACAGGCAGTGACAAAGCTGAGGCGCAGTCGGTGAAAGCTTTCCTAGAACTTGTCAACGAGCATTGTGCGACGCTTCTGACATTGTAGCATTACGGCTGCCGGAAGATGCTCAACACAAGCCATGTACGTTGTCGAGACCGGACAAGTAGTGACTATATAATCGGGTAAACGATAGTGGAGAAAGATCTGCTCGTCTTTCAATCATTTGGAAATCCGTTTATACACGAGTACTGTCCAAATTGAGTTGCGACTGAGCTTGTTAGCAGATGACGGGCCACACAAATCAACGGCTTGACAAGGGTTAGCGGTTTGCAAACCCCCAAAGGCAGCAACCATTGTTTCCACCTCTTCGACAAATGATTGAGCGATGATGAAGGACACATTGAGAAGAAAACACGAGCGGACAAGTGTAACGACAATCGAGAGCAAGCGATGAGGTAAAGCTAAGAAACATCAAGTGGACGGCTACTAGTCTCAAACCTGGCAGCTTTTGGCAAAGGAGTATGCATATATAGTCATTGCCGCTCCTCGACCGCAGACTAAACTGTAGTGACGCATTGACTCTCAGCTCACTCCTCCTCGAGGTCGAGGAAGGGCACTCGATGACTCGAGCACTTCATATCGCAGTATGTTACACACCTTATGGTCGGCAAGATCTAGGCACAGTGGAAAACGTTTCGTTGGTGATGGATGAGGTGATTTGCGCGAGACGTGAAGTCGCCAGCAACCCCACCTGACACGAAACAGGCGCGCTCAAACGCGCTAGCAGCAGCCCCTCTCCTCTTCCTGTTCGGTGCACAAAGGTTCATGCAGTCCAACTTGAACACATTGGATGAAAGCATGCATAGAAAGGCAACAACGAACGATCGCACTTGATGCATCGAGGCAGAGAATCAACATCAAGGCTGCATTTCCACTGCTCGTCTCTGACGATTGGGGAGTCATTTGAATACTTTAATACCTACATGATGTCCTCATCCAACTTGAGTAGCCCTATCCTGCTACCCAAGATAAAACGAGGGTGCATCATTGCTACCTACTCCAAGGCGGCCCCGCGTTCCTGTCGTACGGTACATACCTCCCATACGGACCTCCGCCGGTGTTCGTCCATCCACCAGCTCCGCCAGATCGATTATCTCTCGGCAGCGCGCCTGGTTGAGACTCTAGGTGCACTCGCTCGAATGAGCCCAGTCTGGGAAATGCGTACCAGGCTGACGGGCACCGTTGGGCTTCTGCTTGAAGCTAGGGTACTGATCGGGGCGGAAGCTGGATTCGGGGTTGGGATGGTGGCAGCAGGACCATGGCCAGTATGAGAAGTCAGGCATCTTGAGTTTTGTGTCTTATGCTCGTGGTGTTTGTGAGTGTTTGAGAATGATTTTCGTCCAAGTTCTTGGTGCTGTGTTAAGTGTCCTGTGGACACAGTTGAGCAGCAGCGAGAACGGCTTATATGCCTGGAAAATGTGTATGTCGGGCGGTGGTTCGGATTGATTGTGAACATTGGGATGTGTCGAAGGACTGGGGTGGTGATGTTGTGTCGATCTTGTCGCGATGTTGGCGCTGTGGTGGCCTTCACAGGATGACAGTATCGTGCAAAATGACATGTTGAGCCTCAAGTCTCCGATTCGTCCATCTCGGTGTAGACTCTCAATTCCTTCTCCATCATCACCCTGTAGAGCCTCCAAAGCTCCTCGTCACCGAACACATCTTTCGCTGCCGTAAAGGCCAACATGACGAAGTCCTTAACCCACGGTAACATCTTCAAGCCTTGGTAAAACGTCTCTTTGACCTTGTCTTCCGCCTCATCGATCCTGTTCTCCCACTTACCCTTCTTGCCATCTCTGCGCGGTCGCTTGTTCGGCCGTAAGTTCTGCTCTTTGCACAGTTGCTCGAGCTCGAACTGTAGATACATGTTCCATAGCGCGGGACAATGTGCACCAGACGCATCGAGGTTCGTGGCGCGCTTGTACAGCGCACGTATTGAGTGTGATGTCGAGCCTGCAATCTCGCCCTTCAAGATCTCGTGATGAATTGCGAAAGCCCAGGTAACGACGCTGGCAGTAGGCGAGGTGTGTAGAACGCGGCGCATGTTGCCACGTACACGGTCGTCGATGGAGAAGCGTGCTTCGTTGGCAGCGTAGGTGGATAGCAGGATCGTGTTGTTGGGGAAAGTGGCAATGAGAGGTTCAAGTGCCGTGCGGAGCAAGGCTGGCTTTACGATGGAAGTGTGAGTGACGTGGTAAGCGAGCAAGCGTGCTATGGCTTGCGCGTGGATTTCCGCGTGTACTGACGATGCGAGCTTGTGGGAGGCAAACCAGGCAGTTAGGTTGCTGTGCATACTCAGCGCAGCAGACGCATCGCAGTCGCTGGACAGGTAGGCGAGGAGCGCAAGAAAGGTTGTGTTCAGAACTGCGGATAGGTAGTCCTTGTTGAGAAGCGCGTTCTCAAGAGAGACCTGTAACGCAGTCCGGGTCGTCTGGATGCAGACAGAATCAGGCCTCGACATCCGCGAGGCTGTCGATCTGCTTTGGCTCTGTACGAGTCGCCAGCATGCCTCGACCTTATCGTCTTTGATCAAAGCCTGCCAGATGTGGCTGCTCAAGAGTTCCAGACGATCCGCTGAGGTGGACTGTATGTTGAGTGCGGCGTGAAAGACATGATCGGCCTTTCCGGGATTGCCCAAGTGACCTTCGATCAGCCCATACATGTTATAGAGCCGGAGGCTTGAAGGTCGATCCTTGAGCAGCCGCTTTGCGCTTTTGGCTACCTCCGAGGGAAAGTACCTGTACTCAAAAGCTAGAAGGTACTCGCCAACAAGCTCGCCTTCTGGAGTATTCATGGCCAATAACTTCAGGGCATTTCTGGCGAAGTCCGGACTGAGCATGGAGGGGTCGAGTGAGAATGTCTGCTGTACCAGAAGGTCGCTTGTCATTTGAAAATGGGCGAATGGGCTCTGGGAGTACCGCGAGAGCGCTTCTTGGTATGAAAGATTTTCCGACCCTGTCTTGGTCGCAGACTGGAAGTGAGATGTTCTGCTCTGCGAAAATGGATCAGCCCACCAAGAACAACCCGGGTTCGTCCTGGCCAGACGAGGAAGTCCGCAGAAGCACAAGAATGCATCTATCTGCATTTCACGCGAGACCAAAGGCAAGTTCGTGACGTAGTCCTTGAGATCTGAAAAGAAGATTGTGTGGAAGGGATCGTCTTCGCCAACATCATCTGTGGAGCGGCCGGGGTAGCGAAGCTTGTTCACGGACTCGATCTCGTGTCTTCGAAACTCATCGAGTGACGATTTTGGGGATCGAGATGTCTCCAAGGTGATGGAGCTTGGCGGCGGCATCGCCTCTTCGATCGATGTATGCCGCCAGCCTTTGCTGTCTGGCTCGCCAATGCGAGGGACCTCACTCTCCCAGAACTCTTCGAACTGCTGCACTTTGTCGCCGGTAAGGTCATGTGGCGCTAGTAGACTGAACTCGAGAACAGCTTGCCACGTCGCTAGCGCGAGTTCTTGGTAACCAGCTTCTTGGATCATCGTGGTCAGACGGACGAACAGATGCAATCTAGCTTCTGGGGTGACTGTATCCTCTGTAGATCTACTTGACCGTAGCGCATCCTGAGCTTGAGAGAAAAGAGCGCGACAGTCTTCGTACTTGAACCTCGAAAACGTCGATTGGACAAAGTCGAGATATCCGAGCCAGAGCTTTACACTATGAGGGTGTTTCTTGAGCGCGTCTTGCCACTTTGTTGCCGCTTTCGCATCGTCCCAGTGCCGCTGCACCTCTCGCAAAAGGCCAATGTGGAGTTCGATCTGACTCGCCTCGTCGTCAACGACCTTGCGCAGAGCTTCTTCGTATGTTGAGATTCGCACATCAGCTAAGTTCAGCCTACTAGCCGCCGACAAGTCAGTGGTCGCCCAGTCCAGCTTCATCATCGGTTCCTGGTGCTCGATGAGGTTCATCCATGCCTGAAGGTTTTTTGGATCGTCACGAGTCTCGCGAATCAGCCTGGAGTTCTTCTGCGTGACTTCAGAATTTGCAGCTGCAGCCTCCGTTCCCGACTCATAGCAGGTATCCGGGTCATCAGCTCTGCCGGGGTTACGCTTGTCCTCAATACCTCGATAGTCCGGGGCCGGTGCAACATCATCGTCTTCCCCGCTGTCGTTGCCAGAACCTCGCTTTCGTTTGCCAGTGCTGGAGAGTGCAATGTAGTCACGAGTCGCATCGTTCCGGTGGTCTTCTGCAGCTTTGACAAGCCGCAGCACACGTTTGCCCTCTCTCGCAGCGTGCTTGTCTGTAAGCATTCGCTTCTGTCGCCGACGCACGAGTGGTGTCATGTAGATTTTCGTTTCAGTCGAGTATTCGCGATCAATCTTCTGATCTGGCAGTCCGAGAACGTTACCATAGCCGCAGCGCCGATAACCAGGGATGTCGTACCGGTTCAATGTCCCATACCTGACAATGTCGAGATCCCCTCGACGGTCGCTAAAGTAGGCCTTCTTGGAGGGCTCATCTCTGGCGCGTTCTCGCTTCTCGCGTAGCGGCGATTTCCTCTCATCACGATTCCTCCCATCACGATTCCTCTCATCGCGATTCCTCTCATCACGATTCTTCTCTCTCGATGGTTTTCGTTGCCCCTGTTCTTTCTCTTCCCGCCGAAGATCCTCCGGCGGTGGCTGTTCAGGGGCTTTGGACTTGGGCCGGAAGCTTGCAAACTTCGGAGCGCTTGCACTCATCTTGCTGATCGTGGCCAGTGTCACAGCGTTGCAGACAAGTGTGCCTCGACTTTGATTGCAACGCTCAGCCAAGATCCCGTGAGAGACGGAAGGCCTAGGTGACGAGGGGTAGTCGATGAGACGCCACGCCTGTGCGGCTTCAGGGTTGCATAGCGCCGATCGTTGCGTTTGCTCTTGCACGAGGTTCGCGCATGGTGATGATGGATGCGTGAAGGAGGATGCACGTGCCGAAGCTCAGATGGCTAGCTGCGGTGCTGGTCTCAGTGGCGCACTGTAAAATGTCTGGTGCTCTGTGCGCGAAATCTTGGTCTATGCATGGATCTTGGAGAAATCGTCGAGAAATTTTGGAGCTTTGCGACTGCAGACCAACGTTCCCGCCACGACAATAATCCACGTCGTTCTGCTGCGTCCGATGGCTTTTGGGACCCCACGCACACCCTCCTAAGCTTGTAGATAAGCTCGTAGAATCACCAAAACACGCACAACATGGCGACAGCGCTGCAGAAGCAGCTCGCGGCCATTGCCGCCTCGAGCACCCACCAGCTCGACCTCAAGGCGCAAAAGTCGGCGCACGGCAAGTCGCTGCTGTTCGAGGCCAAGGTCGCGGGATCGCAGTCGTTCGCGAGCCTCTACCTCATATGCCATGACGGCTACCGGGAGCTATGCGCACTGGACCCCCGCTTCCGCCAGTTCTCCAACAGCCTGTTCAGCGAGCAGAGCACGGAGGAGGACAGGCTGCAGATGACCGAGGCGGAGAACAGGAAGCTCAACACGGTATTGGAGGCTTTCATCACATTAGTGGGGCCGCGCCTGCTGCTGAAGCCGGCGCAGAAGGCGCTGGAGTGGCTCGTCAGAAGATTCAAGTGCGTAGCCCTGGTCGCGCTTTCCGCATGAGCAAAGCGCGGGGGAAGGAGCACGCAGCGCGACTGCATTCTGCGTGCAAGCATGCTAACAACCCAACAGGGTGCACGAACACAACACCGAGACGCTCGTCTTCACCTATCTCCCCTACCACCAGACGCCCCAGTTCGTCGCATTACTCTCGATACTCCCACCCCAGCCGCGGCATGCGCTGCGATTCCTCTTCCCGTACATTCAGGCGAACACGAATCCGCCAAGACAGACGATTGTCTACACAGCAATCAACACCCCCGAGTTCTTCAATGCCTTCCAGTCGTACATCGTTCGCGTTCTCGAAAGCGGGCACGAGTCGACAGTTCTGCTCAACTTCTGGGCCACTCTCACTTACCAGGCCATCCATGGCATCTTCAACAGCGCCACATCGGGCAGGCGCGAGATGCAGGCGCAGAAGACGGAGGAGGTGCTGCTCCGAGTGCTTCCCGTGCTCAACAGCTCGATGAGGGTCTCGAACGGGCCAGAGGTGGTTGTGGCATGCTACCTGATGGTCCATGCGCTCGTCACCAGTGCGCAGTTGGGAGACAAGGTGCTAGACAGCCTGATGGAGGCCATGGTTCTGGCACAGGACGCCGACTCGCTGAACCAGTGCATACTGGTCCTGGCTACAGTCGCTGAGCAGCGATGGAGCGCGCAGATGCCGAATGCGGTGACGAAGAGGCTCTTGAGGGTACCACAACTGCCAGCCGCTTTGGCAACGGCATCCGCGCAATGCTCTGTTGGTCGTCTTGCGCTAGGCTGTGCTCTGGGCGCACTGCGTGGTGCCAGCCGCTCGGACGAGAAGCGCGCTACGTTCACAGAGATTGTCGAGTCGAAGCTCCTCACAGCACCGCAGGCGCAGATTGTCCTGTCCACGCTGCTTCGGGCAGTACGGGACAGCGCGGCCGGCTCTGAAGAGCACGGCCAGCTTCTCGAGCTCGCTGCTACACTCGCCGAGGACCGTACTTTGGCGAGCAAGATGCAGATCACTGCCAAGGACAACGACATCGACCTAGAATCGCTTGGCCTCTCCGTTGACCAGTCCATCGAGGAGGATGCACAAGCAGTTGCGTTCGAGTCTGAAGACGAGGAGATGGTCGATGCCGACGAGACCAGCGTTGCGTCGACAATACCAGTTCCAAGTTTCGAGACCAGCAGTTTCCTGGATTCCGCCGCCTCGAACGACTACAACGCTGTCGCAGCGGCGTTCGAGCAAGCCGTGTCTTCCAACCAGACCACTCGTTTCCTTGCCTCCTCGGAGCTCCGGCAAAAGGACGCCGACAAGTCGAACGTGTATCTTACCTTCCTGGTCCGTGCATGGTGCACTTCACGATCCGCTCCTGTTCGAGTCGCTGCCCTCCGCGCCACCGCATCCACCATCAAGCGCGCCGCAGCAACCGCAGACTTCCAACACATCATCCCCTACCTTCTCCACGCACTCGGCGACACATCGTCCCTTGTCCGCCGTTCTGCTGCAGCGTGCGTTGCTACGCTGTCCAAGCGCTCGGCCTCGAAAACGCCAAAGGTCTGGGGCGCTGGCTTGTACGGCAAGGGTGCTGGCGAGCCTTTCGAGCTCAAGACCGATGATGCTGCCACCTTCCTAACATCAGTCCTCACTCCGGTGCTTGAAGAATGTGTGATGGACTCAAAGTTCGTCATGGCAGGAGTGAGGGATGCACTGGAAGGTTCGCAGTCCGCAAAGTCTAAGCAGAGCATCAAAGCGCCCGTCCGAACTGCAGTCCTCGGCTTCTTGGCCAGCCACGTATCCGCTACGCCTCTCTTGAAGGTCAGGGTGAACGTGCTGCCAGTCTTCACCTTCTCCGGCAAGATCTCGGCCGTTGTTCGCAGCGACGCTGTCATCCCGCTGGTCCAGCAGTGGTGCGCGCTTGCAGCTTCGGATGTGGCTACAAAGTGTGCAGACGAGCAACTCTCAGTCGAAGACGCGGACAAAGGACATCTCAATGCCCTCATGGCGAAGGAGGCTAAGAGCGCGCAATTGCTTGGCGATGTTGTCTCAGGATCCATCAACAAGGAGCGCGTTGCCTTGATCGCTGCCGCTTTCGACCAGATCAATGCATTCTGGCCCTCCTTCAAATCCGACTTGAAGCTCCCGCTCGCTCAGGCCATGCTGGACTTGTCGCTCAAGGAGAGCACCGAGCCTTTCGACCAACTCTGCAGGGAGCGTGCCCTCGAGACGCTGCGCAATGTCAAGCTCGACTCTCCTACTCTCATCGCTTTCCTCGACAGTGTTCCTTCCGCGCTGCAGATGCCCGAAGGTCCGCCAAGTAAAAAGAGAAGACGCACCAGCCGCAACGAGATGGCACGGGTGGAGGTATCGTCTACAGATGAGCTGCAACGTCTGCTAAGACGACTCACCCTGGTCCTGGAACTGATCGAAGGATCGACTCCTGGTCAGCACCCTGACTTGTTCAGGAATCTGTTCAACGTCTTCGGTGACCTGCAGCCGCTCAAGCAACAGTCGGGTTCCGAGCTGGTCTACCTGCAGAGCATGATTCTTGGCGCTTTGACACCTATGGTGAACTTCTTCAAGGAGCATCCCGAGGTGACCGACTATCAATCAGCCGTCCGTGCCGATCTTCTCATTGATGCTATTCGACACTCCACTAGCCCACAGGTGCAGAACAGCGCGCTCCTGTTGATCTCCAACCTCGCAACGTGGGTTCCGGACTTGATCCTCCATAACCTGATGCCCATCTTCACATTCATCGGCTCGACTCTGCTTCGCCAGCAAGACGACTACTCGGCTCAGGTCGTCGACAAGACCATCTCGCGTGTCGTCCCGCAACTGGCTGCCTCGCTGCGTGCAAAGCACAAGAACTTCCTGACTGGCGTCTCAGACTTGTTGCTAAGCTTCACCGCAGCCTTCGAGCACATTCCGTTGCACCGAAGGCTCAAGCTGTTCTCGGAACTTGCCCGCACCCTCGGACCTAAGGATTCATTGTCCGCAATCATTGCTCTCCTGGCTGACCGATACCACAACAGCAAGACTCAACGCAGATTCTCGACCGAGCTTCTGCTTGTGTTCGACCCCATACATACATTCGATGCTTTTAAGGGCTACCTCGATCTCGCGGTTGATGCTGCTGGGCCGAAGCGCAAGGTCTCTGATACACTGTTCGGTCTGAACGAAAAGAAGCCCGCTGAAGTCGAATCCGCTATCCAGAACCTCTTGGTGTGCCTTGCAGACCTCGCGGCTGATGACAGACTTCGCGCACACGTCACCAGAGCATTCCGACGCAAGTCTGATAACAGCAGACCTCGTACTGTCTTCGCTAGCATCGTCGAGGTCACCATTCAGCTCTCCAAGCAGGTCGCATCCACGCCCAAGCTGTACGAGTGCTGTAGCCGTGTGCTCGCCCGGTCCTTGGACCTCCTCCCCACCACCGAGCTCATCAAGTCAGCCGAGCTGCTTCTCGCAAAGACGGATGCTCAGGTACAAATCGCGGCTATCAAGTCGGTGCAAGTACGAGCCGCTTCGGTTGTGCAGAACGATCGACACTCTGTCCACGCACTGGTCTCGTTCTTGCCTAGCGTCGAGAACGTCTTGCAGCAGTCAAAGTCTTTGGATGCGAAGATCATCTCCGTCAGCTGCATTGACAGCATTGTAGAGCGCTTCGGCAAGAAGGATGCATCCGCTGTTGCTTCGGTCGCCCAGACCATTGCTGGCCCACAGTCGCTATCGCATAGCGATGACAGACTCCGCGTTCTCTCTCTGTTGTGTCTGACCTCCATTGTGGACGTGCTGGAAGACGAGTTCATCTCACTTCTGCCATCTGTACTGCCGGTCGCGTTCGACTATCTTTCCAAAGCTATTGTGGAGGAGAACGTCGGTCTGCACAACGCAGTCTACACTCTCATCTCAGACATCGTCGAGCGACTTGGATACATGTTCTCGCGAGAGTATCTTGACAAAGCCCTGCGGTTGTCGCATCGCTCCGCCGCTGCGGATCTGGAAGAAGCTTGCGACGAGAGCCGTCGCGCTTTCTATCAGAGTGTATCCGAACACCTTGGCGCGCAGGAGGTGTTTGCCGCCATTCAGTCCACTTGGACACATGCCGTCTCCCAAGGCTTCGATGCATCGCTCGAACACCTCGAGCTACTTCGCTCCACAGTTCACGTCCAGACCAAGGCTAAACTTATCAAGTCTAGCTCAACGCTTTTCAACCTGATCCTCTCCACCCTCAACCTGCGTACAGCGATAACTTCACAGAGGGATGTGGAGTTCGATGACGAAGAAGTCGAGCAGCTCGAGAACACTCTCGTGGAGTCTGTGGTCGCAATGGTGTTGAAGCTCAACGATGCTACCTTCCGCCCCTTCTTCGTGCAACTAGTCGACCAGGAAGGACCGATTGGCGCGAAGCCAGAGCGCGCCATCACCTTCTACAGGTTCCTTGCCTCTTTCTTCGACAAGTTCAAGGTACGGCTCTTACTCTCATCGCCTCACTTCTACATAGCTAACATAGCACAGTCCATCGTCACAACATACTCAAGCTACGTCATCGAGCACGTCGCCAAACTGCTCGAACAGCTCGTCAGTGAAGATGCAAGCTCAGATCTACGCAGCGTAGTCCTCTCAGCGCTACAGAAGACCTTCCAGCACGACCAGGATGGCTTCTGGCAAGCACCTTCGCATTATGGCGTCATCATGAAGCCGCTCCTCAAGCTGCTCACCATCACCGCTGCGGAAGATGTCACAACAGACGTCATTCCCACCATCACCGAGCTCGCCGCTGCATCCGCATCTTCACTCGATAACCACCGCGAGATGAACGCAGTGTTGCTCAAGTACATGCGCGATGAGGAGGCGCACACACGTCTTGCGACAGTGTTGTGTGAGCAGAGTCTTACAAAGAGGTTGGGAGAGGAGTGGCTGGGTCTGTTGCCAGAGATGCTGCCCTTCATTAGCGAGCTCAGGGAAGATGATGATGAAATGGTGGAGAGGGAGACACAGAGGTGGATATCATCTGTGGAGGAGATCCTGGGTGAGGATTTGGAGGGGATGTTGCAGTAAAGCAATCGGACATGAAAAGTGTTAGGAGTTGTTGTTTGTTAGCATTTACAGGTGTGGATCTGGGAGGGGACATGTTCTAATTGGAAACGTTACTACAATTTATGATGTGCTGTGGGCTGTCGTTGTGCAAATGGCAGCTACATTCAGCCAGTGCGTTAGATCTCAGAGACCACATTCATCTTCAGAGTGACCAACCACCCTAGGGGGGATAGGACCTAGCAGCCAAAGAGTAGCTCGCGGAGTTTGCTGTCCCTGATCAAGTCAGAAAGGTCCGGCATCTCGAACTTTGTCCATAGACCGAGAGTGAAGATTCACATTGAGGGGAGACAGGGGTCCGCATACCGTTTGGCTTGGACGATCTGAGTTTCGGATGGGCCCTTTTGCTCCATTCACTGCTTCCGGTGTCACTGGGACAAGATACCCATGTTCTTATCGACCGAGTAGGCGGGAAGCTGAGTGGCGAGAGTGTCGAGGGGAAAGCGTCAAGAAGGGCGGAGAGGCAGTAGTAGAGAATCAGGCAATGACGATGAATTTAGCTTCTGTGTCATCGCTGTGCTCTTTCCCGGATACGCCACTGGTCATTGTTGTTGTTGTTGTTGTTGTTGTTGTTGTTGTTGTTGTTGTTGTTGTTCATCTGAGCCTCGCTTCCACTCTCATCAGTTGGCAGTTCCGTGCATTCTCTCCTCAAACGCATCCTGATCTTCCCAACGGTCAACACCTCGTCCGATTGTTTCAGTGGCTCTTTATCTGACGATGGTCGTTGAGCCACTTTGCTTCTGATAAACGAGAGCAACCACTGTATCCCACGAAGAAGAGGGTAGAGGGTTGGGACCGTGCCGCACACCACCAAGAGGAAAAGCTCGGCTGTAACCCAGGCAAAGATGTCGTATGTCGCCCATGTCTGATCCGTACGATTCCCAAGTTCTGCAAGGTACTGTGTCTTGATGCCCGAGCATATCGACGTCAAGATGTTGAGCCCAAACACAATACATAACTGGATTCGTTGAAACATGCTGATACGGAGCTTCCAAAAGATAGTGAGCGGGATGATTGCTAGACTAGCATCGGCAAAGGTGTAGAAAGCTAGCGACGTGAGTATACTGAAATGAAGCAACGACCATCAGACTGACTTACATCCAGTGAAAATGCCATAACCAGCCATGATCTTGGGATCTATGCATGTTCCATCTACTCGCGGATCCCAGAGACGTCTCGGCGGACTGCATTGCAGGAAGGTCAGTAGCGAGCATGAGATTGCCACACAGCTCGTCAAGATGATGGTGACTGTCCAGAGGTACATTCGCTGCCATCTCCATCCTGTGTCTCGCACGATGGTCAGCAGTAATGCTGAAATAGAGATCTTTCCAGTCGCCACGCCCACGATGCCGAAGATCTGAGAGGTCCAATTTAATAGTATAGCTTGGGTCAAGTTGTCCATGCCGCGCTTTTGGACGTCCCAGATGTGCTGACACCCGCCTCGATTAGCGTACAGCGTCAACACAACGGACCACCCAACGAAGCACACCTTGAAGCAGTCAATATCACCTCAGTTTCCTTTGTGGTTATACGTACCCAGGTCGTACCCATGAATATGTCATCCCACCCAACCTGTCTTTTACGCACACGAAAGTTGAATCGAAGAACGATAGTAACAAATGAAAGAGATGTGAGAGTCCACATCATGATAATGAGGGTAGGCCCGCGATCTGGGATCGAGTCCGCATCTCGTTCGCTGAATGTGTCCATCCTCACTCAGACTGTGCAGAAGATGGGAAATCGACACTCGAGAGCCATGAGTCACGACACTCGCAAGTTCGCGACGTGCGTCCTTTGATGAGTTTTACCATTGCTCTGCCTCGCAAGGCTGGTTCCGCAGCAACGGTAAATCGACGGGCCGTGTCGGAACAGCAGGAACAATCAAGATGCATAAGACCAGTTTGATTCGTTCTGGTTATCTGCATCCGCGTGGCACAGGTCTTGAATCTAAGCGAAGGATCACTCCTCTTACACATGCAGGCAAGCGTGACGTATGAGCGAGTCAAACAGGCATAATCCATCCTTTTGCCGAGCGCACCTTCCTCCTTACAGCGATAAGCCGAGCCGCGAGATATTAGACCAAGCCGCTCATTATTTCAAGCAATCCCCACGCGTCCCGCAGCGTATCCGAGCTCATCACCAAATCACGACCTTGCACAACCTCGAAGATGACGTCGCAAGCCAATCCCCAGGCTCTCATTGAGCAGCTGCGGATTCTCACTGCCGATCCTAGCTCTTACTTCCAGGATGATGCGCAGAAACGTGACTTCCAGAAGTTGACTCGACAAGCTGCGAGTGCGGTAGAAGAGCCGTTTGAGACCATGCAACGGTTGGTGTACGGCGTGAGTGACTGGAGTGCAGCGTTGTGACACCTTGCAACTGCTGACCCACTCACAGCCTCTACCGCTTGTCACCGCACGCATTGGTCAAGATCGAGGTATATTCGACGCTCTTGCAAAGAATCCAGAGGGAGCACAGCTTGACGGCCTCGCTAAGGCGAGTGGCCTTGCAAAAGGTATCCTAGAATCTGTGTTGGACTATTTGTGCACACAGGGCATGGCCATTGAGTCGAGCCCAGGAACATACAAAGCTACTCCTCTGACACACATGCTTCTCGTACCGCTCTTCAACGATGCTGTCACTCACTTGTTAGTCTTGCCATTGTACACATGAATTCCTACTGACCATACAGTCATGACAACTGCGCCCCAGCTTTCATTGCATTGAACCAAGTACTCGGCAACTCTCAGGATGGGAAGACCGCCTTCAAGGTTGGGCAGCACAGCGAGGAAGATTTCTACACCTGGATGGAGACGCACCCTATTCAGCAAGGCGCCTTTCACCGATTTATGGAAGCCCAGTTCGCCATGCTCCCCACCTGGTTAGATGCGGTCTCCTTCGACACTGAAATTGCGCAAGGCGTTGGTGCAGAAGACGTGGTATTCGTCGATGTTGGCGGCGGAAACGGATCACAATGCGCAGCCCTCAAGAAAGCCTTCCCCGAGCTCAAGGGTCGCATCATTCTACAAGACCGACCAGCCGTTCTTGAGAAGGCATTGAAAGTCCACGGCATGGAGCTGATGGCCCACGACTTCCTCACCGAACAGCCTGTGCATAGTAAGCCCATCCGAACACTTCAAGAAATCATCGATACTGACACACCCAGACGCACGAGCATACTACTTCCGCCAAATCCTGCACAATTTTGATGACGACACATGCATCCAGATCCTACAAATGCATCTCCCCGCGCTCCAACACAACCCCGCCAGCAGAATCTACATCGACGACAAAACGCTGCCCGACGAGAAGCCCGATGCTACCGCGCCAGGTGTCGAGTACACGGCCGCGCTGAGCCTGGCGATGAAAGCGATGTTTGATGCGCAAGAGAGGAGGGAGAAGCATTGGCGGTGGATTATCGACCAGGCGGGGTTGGAGGTGGTGGAGATTAGGAAGTTTACGAAGTTCGATGACAGCATTATTATTGCGAAGAGGAGGTATCAGGACCAGTGGCGGTGATAGGATGGGCGCGTAGGTAGGATTCCGTTAGAGATTGGTGGGAAGTCAGGCAAGAGTTTTCCTCGCCAATATCTCAAGCTTGGAACGCACAAATGCAGGTCAAAGGAGCATTGCTCGGTTCACAGATGCGCGTTTTCGCAAGCTCACTCTTAAAGATTCGAGTGTACACTCGCTTCATCATCTCCTCAATCAAAGCTGACTTTCTTCAACAATTCTTCTTTCTTCTTCAACTCCCGCCGTAGCGTAAAGTCGACGAAAAATCAGCGCACACATCCGCGTAGTGCAATAGGATGGGCACCCGCCGCCTCAGTATGTGCAAGCACAGTGACTCAGCAGCCTCTCCAAAAATACGATAACAGCCAACCGTACGGTCGCTGGACGGGTCTCGATAGGACCAAATCCAAGGTGTTACCCTTGACAGAACAGATACTACATCTGGATCTAAGCCATATGGCAAAGAGAAGATGTCGAGGGAAGGGGAGGGCGAGATGGGGTGGGTTTATATAGTTGGAAGTTAGGCAGTAGGGAAGCACATGATTATCTGAAGTTGGTGTTGCTAGACTGTAATGCTGCACGTGAGTATCTGCCTTGACGATCGTATCATATATGGTGGCGCAAGCTTAGGCTTCCATGTCACGTGATGGTGTGTCAGTCGCAAAGGAAATATCAAAGACTGTATCATGTTCATCGTTGCTTATTTCATTCTCGTCGTTACTTGTCCCGCGCAGCAGGCGCTCTCACTGACCAGCTCGTTAGTCAGCGTCCATGCCCTTGCACCATACATATTCGCCCTTCGATAGTACACCAATCGACAGTTCACATCTATACCCTCATCATTACTTCATGCGAGAACATTGGCATTACGTATGCTGACTCCTTGTGGATACTTAGCAGACAGCATGTGTCTTCTCGTGCTGGCCCTGAAGACTGTGGTCCTCGTCTCCATAGATCTCCTGCGTGCTCTTCTTGACTATGGGCTGGTGCAGTGTCGTGCGGCGGCGCATGGAGAATTGGTGCCTAGACGTGTCAGTTACGCCAGCTACTTTTTTCGGTATCCAGGATGACTCACTCCTTGTGTTCCTCGATCTTCTTCGCGTCGAGGGAGTCAAGTGTTTGCAGGGCGAGCTTGAAGTCGGAGATCAGCGCGTCGCATCTCGACTTGGTGAAGTCCTCGCGAACGACAATGCGCATGAGCTTCATCTTCTCCGAGTGTGGCGCCATGGTGTAAGCGGGTACGACCCAGCCACGTTCGCGGAGCTGATGGGCACTGTTTCAATATCAGCATGATTCGTCTTCAAGTCTGATACCTGAACGTACACAGCGAACTCGTCGTACTTCTTGTCAAGATCTTTATCGAGACGGCAAGCAACAAGCGGCAGACCCTCGCCCTTCCCCTGACTCAAAATGATGAAACCCAAGTTCTCAAGGTTGGCAGCAAGGTAATCAGCGATGCGGGTCAAGTTCAACATAATCCTCCTGTAACCGCGCTTGCCGAGGCGGATCAGCTGGTAGTACTGCCCAATGATCTGCGACGCTCCACGCGAGAAGTTGAGGGTGAAAGATGCCTGATCGGCACCGAGGTAGTTAATGTTGAAGATGAGTTCCTGAGGGAGGTACTTAGGGTCACGCCACACGACCCAACCAACACCAGGGTATACGAGGCCGTACTTGTGGCCGGACACGTTGATGGATGAGACCTTCTCGAGACGGAAATCCCACAGCAGACCAGGGTTGACGAACGGGGCGACGAAACCACCAGAAGCAGCGTCAACGTGAATGTTGCAGTCGATGTTGCGTTCGATGAGGAGATCATTGATAGCCTTTGTGTCTTCGTACTCGCCGGTGTAAGTGGTTCCGAGGATGGTGCAGATACCGATTGTGTTCTCATCAACGAGGTCGACGGCCTCCTTGGGGTCGATCACGTAGCGATCCTTGGTGCAGTAGACGTACTTCTCCTCAACATCGAAGTACCTGCAAGCTTTCTACACAAGATATCAGCAAAGGTCATGCATGTTACCTTCATAACACTGACCTCCCAGCAAACCTGCACAGCCGCGTTCATGACAATGTTGGGGTTCTCAGTCGACTTGCCCTCAGCCTTGCGCTTCTTCTGCCAGAGTTTCTTCATAGCGAGTACACCCAACTAGAACATGTCAGCCACCATTGATCTGTCCTTGTCCATATGTCAACCCACCATGATAGCCTCTGAGGAGCCAATGGTCGAGGTACCGATCGTGTTGGCATCATCGTGAGACGGGGCATTGAACAGCCTAGCGATCATGGACACGCATCCTGTGTTGCCTTAGCCACTTTCTCTCTCAATACGTATAGCCGGTAAGTACGGTTCTGGATATCGGCGCTGACGGGATACTCTTCATAGTCGATGAAGTTCTTGGAGAAGGCGTCACTAGTAGCATGTCAGAAGCTGTCCAGGATGGATTGATGTGTGGTATTTACACCATAAGCTCCTCAGCCTCCTTCTCCATGTAAGTAGTGACGAACGACGCCAAGTTGAGTGTCGGTGTGCCATCGAGCGTAAGATCATCCTTGATCATACGGTGCGCGACCGCAGCCGGCATCTCACGCTCAGGCATCTCATGGCGGGGCAAGTCCTCGCCAGCATACTTGCTGCCATAGACTGTGGCTGTGAAGTCGTCTTGCTCCTCTTCCTCGGTGAGGGGGATAGTGTCGATGCTCTCGTACTGAGAGCGGATAGACTCAATCTCCTTGTCGGTGGAAACGCGGTTGACGTGCACCATGATGGCTTTAGAAGAGCAATTGGCGTGCAGAAGAGAAGAATTGGAGAAGAAAGGTTCCTGTGGAGAAGCAAGATGAGGTATTTAGCCCGGCCAGCGCGGGCCTCATAGCTTTATCATGCTGGTGCAGGAAGGATTACGTCCGTGTCTGGGATGCAGCTACCCCACCATGCCACCAAAACACCACATGCACGCGTTCCCAGCTTCGTACCAGCTCCTTCGACGTACGTGTCACTGTGACAATCAATCAGCTTCGTGTAGCTATGCATCTGCTTCATGTGTGTGCTCGCTCACCGCTGCTCCTGCAAACGACTGAGACATCGAATGCGCAGCTGCCAACACGGTGCCTTGCCAGTGGTTTCTTGCCCACAGCGCTCATTCGAGGATCGTCATAGCGGGGCTTCGCTAAGCACCTGCCCAAGAAGCTTGTTTCTGTTTACGTTCCCACCGCCCGAGGCGCCGCTTGCTCGCGCGGCAGGAAACTGACGCTGGCAGTATGTCACTGCGGGGCGAATGGCCGAGGCCTGTATGGACCAGGAACGCCCCGAGCGTGATTGGGAGAGATCTCAAAAATGATGTTGGTCTTCAAGGACATGGACACACTGGAAAAGGTGAGCTCTTCAACTCCAGCGGTCGATGCAACGCCTCCACACAGTCGGAACAAGTGTCCGTGATCTGCGTGCACTGCGAAGCACACTTGTCAACAAACAAACCAAGTCAAGTCTTGCCAAATGTTTGACTTGACCTGCAATTGGTGTAGTATATACTTAACTTAGGGTGTTGTAGGCTTGATTTGACTTGATATTTGCAAGTATATTTGATGTTTATGTGCCTAGAAAGGTGATGTATTTGGCATTTACTTGGGAAATTTCCTCCTATTTGCACATTTTGTACAATTTAAGAATATTGCTGTTGCTCTGGTCAACAGCCAGCACAGTTCTCAGCTTCATAAACCCAGCCAGCACCCATTGGCACACACATAGGGGTGCTTCTAGCAACTACAGATCTATGTTACATTGTTTTGAAGCAAGTAGATCATCCAACTCGCTAAACATCTGCTCACAATCACAGCTGGAGGCAGATAATGTCATTATATCAATTGCCAATTGACTCAACTAGGGTATTTACTGCAGAGAGCAAGCTAATGTTAAACAGGATTTCCTTGTTTTTTGAACTCCTTGTTGCAATTTGTGCCTTAAGCAAAGCTTGTAGACACTATTCAATTGGTTCTTGGTGATGAGCGGAGGTACAGGGAGTCCGTAGGGGTTGACAGTCACCTAAGCAATGCTTGGGTGGTCAGGGGTAGACTATCTGGGCAGGTTGTAATAACCTTTGTAATAGTCAGGTAGTTGTCTAGTCAAAGACCATGGCAACTGGATCAACTTGTTATTGGAATCTCAACTGCTCTCAAGCCAGACAGTCTACTCTGTACTACTCATTGCCCCCAGATGTCATGGTCTTGGACTAGATGTCTACCCCTGATCACTCCAAGCATTGCTTAAGTGATCAACCCCTTGTTCCTTCATGCTACACTTATCCCTGAGAACCAACCCAACTAGTGCCTACAAGCTTTGCTTAAGATTGTAAGGGTATCTGTGACAGCGAGCTTAGTAACAATGGGGGGTGGTCCCATAAGATTAATTGCTACCGTTTTCCTGGCCATTGTGTGCCCGATTATCTATGCGCTCTTGTCCGTACCACGCTAGCGTCCCGATGGGTTAGCGCCATCGTCCCGACACGTGACAGCCTACTTCCCTACAGCACCATGATGTTACGATCCTACGTCCCACGATAGGACGACAAGCAATAAGTAACCGCCAACCAAACACGGAGGCCTGGGGGAAGGCGCAGCAAGGCAAGGCCGCCCGGCCGGCGCCTAGGGGATTGCTCTCAGCCGAGCTGACACACGTGACAGAGCTCGTCAACGAGCATGGTGCGGTGCTCGTCAACAAGCATGACGTGGTGCTCGTTGACGAACCGCAATCCATCCGGATTGGCCAGGACCGACTCTGCTCGTCAACGAGCAGATCTGGTGGACTGTATATATATGTGTAGGAACACAACCCTTATGGTTCGTGTTCAACCTCGTCAATTAAGTTTGTCATTGGATCTCAACCAACCTTCGAGCTAGACAGATTGCCTGTACTACTCATCGTTACCCCAAGCCGTCGTTAGGTGTTTCACCCAGGCGACTTACCCCTACTGTTCCAGAGCCAGAGTTCATCCTCGAGAACCAATCGAATAGTGCTTACGAGCTTTGCTTAAAGTACAACTTCAACACATGACCCCGTTACAAAGATACAACCTCAACACTGTAGCTGTCCTGTTATGTAGCTCTTTGAAGCTACATCTTTTAAAATACAATCTGTTGTTGTTGTCTGTCCCTGTCATGGCTACCTACTGGCCAGCTCCCTCACACTCATTGCAACCATGTCTGTTAATTGTTGCAAGCCTTATAAACACAAAGTTGTTTTTGAAATCAAGCCTCCTAGAACTTCCTGCATCAAATTATCTGCTGTGATGTAGGCATTTGTGGTTGGCGCAATTGTTGCTACTTCATGGTTATGCATCTGCTAATGCACTCTCCTAACACATGCGCTGTGGCCAAACTAACTTGTCTGCATTTGTGCAACATGTAGAGCAAAAGGCAGAAGAGCACAGAGTTGATTAATGGGGTCCCATTCTATTTGAGAATGATCTTGGGCATGGAAGGAGTGCAATCTTGATGCAAGAACAAAAGGACAAGATCATCCAGATCACAAGCCAAGACCGCCAACACTGCAAGCAGGAGTCCTGGCAAGCAATTGCGCATGACAACTTCAGATGCATAGTACCTGAAATCAGCTTATCAACATTTGAGAATATTATGTATCAAGCTGGTTATGCGTGCCAAAGAGCTGCATGGAAGCCTCCACTTTCATCAACACAATAGAAGGAGATATGAGTGGGCATTGATGCACAACCCAGACAAATACAAGGTTGGAGATGGACTTGGCTATGATTTCCGCAAGGTCTGCTTCACTGACAAGTCTCCTGCACATGTTGGAGAAGAGCAAGGCATGCAGAGAGTTTGGTGTAAGGCTGATGAGACCTATCACAGTGATGTCAGGAAGGATTGCAATTGCAAGGACTGTGCACTACAGTTCTTTGGAGCGTTTCAATATGATCACAAAGGTCCTTGCTGTCATGGGTATTTCCCCTTATAATGGCACTCCTCCACCCACATTACAAAGCGCATTACACTGTTGTGACTTACCCACAAGGCCTCCACCACAGCAAGATTAGCGTACTGCATCATCCTCCAGAAGCCCTTGCTCTCAAAAGTATGCAATGACTAGTTGTTATCTACTAACCAGAGCACCCCAAAACTTGTACATTGAAGTGGCCAAGCTTGTTGGCAACCTCTTGGCTGACATCAACATCTTTACGCAGTGCCTGTTTGATAGTAGACTGCCCGGCGGCAAGCTTTGGAGGCTCAACGCCGTGGTCAGTTAAGCGGTGGCCGTGCCTCTGTGAGCCAAGGTGTCTGGCAGGTGAAGGTATGGCAGAAGTAACCTCACCTATCCTGCCGCTGAGCGCGTTTAAAAGGCAGAAGGTACACTCCTTTAACTTTTTGTCATGTTTGTCAACTACCGGTTGACCTTAAGCGCAAAACGATAGCCGTATTGAAAGACTCAGCTCTTCCTGCCGGTGAGCGTGCGCCTCGGCTTCCAATATTGACGCCTGCTCCTCGATCGAAGCCTCCGTGGCCGCCGCCAACGCCTCGATAGGCGCTACAATCGCCTCCTCGGGCACCAATCCCAGCAGCTGAAGCTCCCACGGTCGCCCATTTGGTGCGTCAACAATAGCCTAGGTGCTTGGAGGCGGTATACTAGAGCTCTGGGATTTGCTTAACATGGTTTTTTGGTGGGCTTGTTTTGCGTCTCTGGTAGCTCAATTGGCTGGTTGCAAGGCAGTTCGTTGCCCTCAAGGGTCTTACGCGTGTATTTTCTAACGCATTTTTGCGGCAGGTTGGGGCCATCGGCGCTGCTAGGGTTGCTGTTTGCACGTTTGGGAGGCATACTAGGCTATCAGAAAGGCAACGAGGTCTCAAAACTCACCCTGAGCTGACGTGTATAGGCAAAAAGTACGCGATAATAAGCCAAAAGTGCGCGACGATGAGCAACAGCTGAGCAAGGGATGGCTGGGTACGGGTACTGATGCAAAAACAGCCAATCACAACACCAAAATATCACTGAGAATTCACACCATTCAGCACCGAAAACACCAACGAACTCATCGAGCACATCAAACATATCGAATCAAGTCGCCCCTGTATACTTGATTTGAGCTCAAATATTCCTCCAGAGGCTTGACTTACTTGATTTGAAGACTTGAGGTTTAAAAGAATCAAACTTGCATGTAGCTTGTTTGAGTTGGAATTGGAGCAATCTGGTCCTGTCGATTGACAATTGTGCTGCCAAGGATCTTTCAGGTCCATGTATCGCAGCTATCGTCCGCCAAGTATCATCGGAGTTCGAAGAGTCGATTTCAATTGGACGATCTTCGAGAAGCTGAAAGTAGATCTGCAGGTGAGATTGCGACGCGAGCCTATGTCAGCAGGGAGAGCAGCCTCAGTGCATGTGCAGCCTCAGCTGGACGAAGGTGAGCCGTAGTGTTTCAGATCTGTGTGATTGTGCCGTGCAACTCTGCAGACGAGCTGACCATGGTGCATTACTGCTGGTAATGACTATGCAATGTGTGCGATGCTGAATACTGAATGCTCGAGTCGAGCTGACCCCATGCCGAAACCAAATGTTTGACAGTGCTGCATGCTCACTCTGAATTACTTCCAACCCCCGTGCAAATGCAACAACGAGGAAACATATGAGAGACATGATCATAGGACAAAGAAACGCTAAGGGTCGAACCATGATGCGCAACATAAGGGAATCGTCGCTTGTGTATATGCCACTCTCGTAAGGCACTTTTCCTTTGTGATCCTCCTCTTCTCGCGTGTAATGCTTATATGATGTTGGCGATACTAATGCGGCTGGCGTTCGATGGTGCGGGGCTCGGTAGAGGCGCTGGCTTTGGTGGCGACTGATCGTTCGAACCAAGCTGAACTCGTTTGACAGGATTGTGCGGTGGTGGGTAGTACGTTGGCTGTGCGGTTCTTGGGCGGTTCTCGTCCATCAGTTGTCGAATTAATCGATCCACTCTGCCCCAGCCCTCCCATTCTTGTGCTGGCGAGACAGAAGTCGGGCGATCGCGCATGGGCTGGTCTTGACCAGGGAGTCGTGAGGCGCCGAATGAAGCGATCTGAGGAGACTTTGTGGATGTCAGATCTGTACCTGCCCACGCCCAACCATGCTCAACACCAGCTTGCACGTCTCCACTGATGTAAGCCAACATCTCCTGATCATACTCAAGCTGCTGAGGCGAGCCGTGTCCGCTTTGTATACGGTCCAGCAACTTTTCCAGGACGAAGACAAGGTTCTTCCCGCAACCAACACCGACCTGCCGCACATTTCCAACCACACTCAGCATGTGTGAGCACATCAGTGCCGCATCGTAGTCGCCTCGGAAACACAGTACAAGAATGCATCGCCAGAGGTGCATGCACGTCAGGTTACTTGCCATGGGCGCTACTCTCGCAGGCCAACTCTTCTCTATCTCTGCCTTCGGCGGGGTGTGGAGTGCCCTTGAGATATACTTTGCAGTTTCCTGAGCCACGCTTGCACACTGTCGAAGAGCTTCCCTTCGCTCAGTGAGATGACAAACAGGTGACAGGTTGCGTCTGTACAAGTGGTACTGGGCGGTAAGAAGGACAAAGAGGGGCGGTAGCGCCGCAGTCTCCAAAGCAGCAGTCGAGCTCGTCTGATATGCCTCAGGCAGTTGCTGTGCTCTAGATTTAAATTTTGAATCGAAGCTTTGCAGCGTTTGAGGAGTAATCATGCTAGACTTCAAGGCCTGGTACAATGGCGCGTATATGCGGGTGATCTGTATGACAGCCAGAGAGCCAGTGAAAGGTGCCGTGTTCGCGTGGGTTCGGAAGAAGCCTTGGGGCTGTATGTAGCGGTCGTCTGCAGGGGAAGGAAGAGAGATATCGCAATCGTTATCGTTGATAAGCATCGGCTTGTTCGCTTCAAATGATGTGATCCTGCAACATGTCAGCTACTGCGTCTTGTCGTTTCATAGCAGCCGTACCTATCTCGCGAGTAGATCGCCCACCAAAGCCTACGCCGAATCTCGCCGTCAACAACGGGCCAGGAATCGACTTCCGTGTTAATGCACAGTTCTTGAGCAACCCTAACAGCATTAGATAGCCACATGGACCCTGCCGACCTCATGTTACTTTCTGCGGCGAAAATGCTCAAAAGCAATGCCACTTGAGCATGTATGATCGTAAGGTCTTGCGCCCAGGGCGTCAGTGCTTGAGTTGCGATGTCAAAGAATGCCATCCCCCTATCTGAGGCGATCGGAGGGCTCCCTGGTGTTGCGGAACTTTGCAAGCTACCACAAGCCAGCACTGCGAAGAACAGTCCGATCCACTCTTGAGGCATCCCGCAGAAGCTGCGTGCCGTGTACACCTCATCTACTTCGCGTTGGAAGATTGGCCAGTGAATCGCTGGATACCACCCGTGTACGTGGTTCAGATATGACCTGGATAGATGCGCAAAATCTGCTCGTGGTGGTACTTCAGGTAAGCCCGATCCTTCCTCGAGCGGAGCGCTTGCTCGAACGTGAGGTGTGTCGAAAATGCCCTGTGAGTAGGTCTGGATGTTTCTCCGTACATGGTCGAAATCGTGCATGACAGGTGCAGTGAGTTTGTGTCGAACGGCTGGTGGTCCACTCGGTTCGTCGGACAGACGGCGTTTTACATCCGCGCGGTCTGGTATAAGCTCTTCCTTGCTGGTTGTTTTTGTCCGTAGCTGTGTGTTCATTTGGGTCAATTCGGCGATCTGGCTCTGGAGGTCCTGAACTTGTCTGTACAGGTGATCAGCATGAGCGACCAACACTGAGCCAACGTGCTTACTTGATCGAAGACATGCGTCTATTTGTTTCCTTTGTGAATTGGCATTTGTGATTCCTGCTGGAGCATTCAGAACATGCTGAGGTCTCCGTGGCGTCGCACTACGATGGCAGTCAGCATCAAGACAATTACATACTCCAAAGCAGCTTTCGCTCTAGCGTAGACATCCTAACATCTGAACCCGCAATTCCACGGCCGCCTTGAGTGAATTATTTTCGTAGCCATCGACTCCAACTAATCGGCTCGACGACCTTGGCGCAAAGAAAGTGTTTCTGCGACAAAGATAGCACCCACAGCTTACGACGTCGAACGTAGTTGGTTGTTGCCACCCTCCACTTACAAGAGTCTTTTCATCTTGCAATTTGTATTTTAGAGACACTCGGACTTACCTTGACTTTTCGCTCTCGGCAAGCATCGCAAGATGGATCTTTCCTCCTTTGCCTGTACGCTCGCTTCTGCGCGTTGAGATTCGCCGAAGAGATCTGGGACGAAGAGATCCCGAAAATTGGAGCATCATGATTCTGCATCTCAGGTAGACTAACAGACGCTGCGCTGGATGCTACAGAATGAGAATATGAGTTCGATGCGTGGCCAGGTGATCTTGCTTCAACCTGTGAGAGAGGCGGGGCAGTCAGGGTCGTTGTACGAATTGGTGGTGGTACGTGTGCGAAAGGGTTTGGAGGCGGTATCATGCTCTGTGGAGATCCTCCAGATGATCCAGGTGGCGATGTGCGCATGTCGTAGGTGAGCTGCGTACTCGCGGACGTCAAAAGAGAAAAGCCAGAACCGTCAGATGGAGGGACCGAGGTGTCCAGGCAAGATAATGCTGCTGTGGGGGATCAGAGAACTTCTCGGTAGCAACCGAACACGATGCCAGTCGGGACCAACAGAATGGACAGAACGGGAGGGCGATGTAAAGGGGACGACCAATGGAGATTTAGTCGTCAGTCCATCTCAGTGGCCAGACCTGGAATGAGGGTGTGTGACGGAACTGATGTGAGGAATGGCTGGGCTGACAGAAGTGGGCTGCTAGGCTGGAATGGAGCTTCCCGTACTTGCAGTGTTCCCAGTGAGGAAGCTTGAAGGAATCGCGTCTCAAGGCTGGACGCGCACCTGAGTCGGGTGCTCCGTGTCGCTTGAGTGAGCCTCAGGGAGTGAGCCAAGCAGATCTTGGAAAGGTACGCCGAAGGAGTGCAAGCTCAGGCTCACGATGTGTACCAAGTCACTGCGAAGAAGAGCGCGACTCGTAAGGCAGCTGTTTTTCCGCGGCTGGCTGGAATGAGTGATGGTCTGTTTGATGGCAGGGGCCCGAGTGGATGCGAGAAACCCGGACAGCTTCCGGTGATGAGCCGCTAGGAACTTACTGACAGCCAAGGGCAGGGACCTCGTGTGGAGCGATCTTCTCGAAGGTGACGTTACGCTGTGAATCAAGTTCCGAGTTATAGAGGGAGAAATCGACTAGCACACACTTTGTAAGACCATGCACGCATAGAGCCTAGGCGCCACCGTACCTATCAACGTCCAAGTAGTGCTCGATTAACGCAGGGGCCTGGCGAGCTTGCCTGTACCGCAGCACGTGTCACTTTGCGATGGATGCTCAATTTGGTAAGGAACCAACGTCCCTGTTCAACGTGAAGGCGCCTTCGGCATGCACCGTACTGGGGTAGAAAATTTTCAAGTTAGACCTCTGTTCGAGTAGCGAGATGAAACAAGTAATGATCATGCACACAACGTACCGGTACTCCCGTAGACGGATAAATCCTGGCGGATAGTAGCGCCACAGGTCTCCCACGAGTATTCGCCCCCGTCACACCATGGGTTCGTTAACTGTCATGCACACTGGTGTGTACCGGTACAAATTCGCCCAACAACGAGCTGTCACACGTGGAAAGAGCAAAGCTTACCGGTCAAATGGGTGGTAGAGCGAAAGCGAAGGTGCTAACCACGGTTAAGAACCGCGTTGACGGTGCCATATCTTGATAGGCGTGCCGGAACAAGATCCGAACAGCTAGTGAAGGACGTTAGCTGGAACGTTTCTCGGCCCTGACGACGTCGTTACAGAATGCCGAAAGCGGTATGCTCACTCTCCGAATCTACGAACGTCGTGTTTGCCGTTTTTCAAATCACGTCCCGCCAGAAAAACGTGGTGACAAGCTGCCGCAGGCGCTACGCTGCGAATGACGGGGTTTTCCTAGCTAATGCTCGTGGCTAGGGCGAGAGCACACGGCTAGAAGCGTGCAGCATGAGGTCTAGTCGAATGGATTGGCCCTGTGTGAGACGCTGGCGGGCCAGGCGCAAGGCGGTCGGTTCTCGTTGAAGAGCAAGGGCAGACCGCTCCGTCATGGTGGATCGTTGCCGAAAGTGCATAAGACCAGCGAATAGCCGCCTCGGACAGCCCGTCCTGCGTAACCAGAAATACGTTGATCAGCGTGTATTCGGCACGTTGCGGCCCACTGCCGTTCGAAATTGCTGAAAGAACTCTGATTTGTCCGTGGTCTGTGAGAAGCTCGCAATTCGCTGGCATCTTGTGATGTCAAACTGGCGATGAACACACTCGCCAAACAGCGGACGCGTTCTCACCTCCGGCAGGGTCCACGCGAGTTCGGCCACCGTTGCCTGACGACGGAACTCATTCCGGCCATCCAGAGTGCAGCAAAAGACCATGACCCCTGCCTTTGCGCCACCACCCTGTGTGGCTCCTTCAGAAAACGTGCTTTCCCCACGCTGCAGTGCGTGTCCGCATCCGCTTGGGGAGACCCACAGGACTTCGAAGAACACCGTGCAATATTCTAGCTTCTCGCAAGGTGCGTCGAGTTCGCATCCTGGCAAGCTTTTAAAGTTCTGACCAGTATCAACCGCATTCTGAGTCGATGATGCTGTTGCCGAGGTGCCCGCAGGCCTGGTCGAGGTGCAGAAAACCGCATCACCAACTGCCGGTCCCGTTGTCTAGACCGCCGCGGTCTGTCTCGCCCCTTGGCTCACACAGAAGCCGGTTGTCGCGCGGAACTCTCACCTTTTTCAAGGCCTCCGCCGGTCGTCTCAAGATGCTCCCATGCTTCTCACACACGGCAGAGAAATGCTATGTGACCAGCAGGAGCAAGCCCCGAGCCCTGAGAAGGCCTCTAACATCGGTCGTGTTAACATCGATCTGCCCGTGCACGCAGATACGACAGATCAGCAAGAATGGTCTGACATGTCCACGCATGCGTGTCGATGCCCTTCAGAGCTTGTCGTGAGATATCTTGTGCAGCCCTCGCTTATATCGCGTGGAACAAGGAGCTCGAGGTTGCATCCGAAGCTGCCGTCAAGTATTGATTCGATGTTGTGACTTCGCTCTGCACGACATGAGAGACTGTAAATGCCTTGGGCTGTCACGAATAGATATCTGGAGATCTGCATGTCTGGCCACCTGATTGCGTGGCCCATGGCGGGTCGGTAGCTTCCGCCCTCGGGCTGCAGCCGATGAGATGGGACTTTGTAAAAATCGGCCATGGAGCCCTCATGTTGTGGGCAGGTATCCCACTCCGCTGCCGAGCACCCGCTTGGCGAGTCCGGAGGTGAATGCTTGAACCGGGTCGACTCCTGATCTGCCCTCCGATAAGGCGTCGTTGACGCCTGCAGGCCAGCATTCCTCCGATGATCACTCTGGGCTCGCTGACAACGCCGAAAACCTGCACGCTGAATTGCAGTTGTCGGCCATCCATGAGACGCGGACAGCCTTCTCCAACTGGTGTGAGGGCCCTGTTCCTGGCGGGCATGTGGAAATGAACGCAAACCCAAAGATGACGCCGACGGCCAGGCCAGAACGACTGGCAGCCGAGTGCGGCGGCATTTTCAGCCGTCGCCAGCAGCGTGAGGCTTGAAGAGAACTGTAAAAGGAAAGTTCCGTATCGCGTAGCGGTGAGAGCTCGTGTTTCGGCAAGAGTGCGGCACAGATGGTGAGCTTCGGAAAATGTTCTAGTGTTTTTCCTATGAAGGCTAAGGGCCGGCTAAGAGTCTAGAAGAAAGCCACGATTCAAAGTCAACAAACACTGCACACGTGAGATCGCGATCTGTGTTGAGAATATGCGTGGTGGACCTCGCTGCATAGTTGTATTGTACGAAGTTACCGCAGGGCGAGACATGTCTCACGATCAAACATCGCCAATCTCATTGTGCGATGCACCGACGTGACAATGTAGGGTTCCCCCACCAACCTTATCTCGACATCTTGAGCAGCAGAACGAGCAGCTATGAGTTGTACATCATCGCACTTTCGATGTCCGAATAATATTGCAGAGAACTTCTAGCTTTGTCATTCGAGCGCGATGTCGGCTATACAGATTTGGACCTGTCAGACGTACATTTGTCGATGCCAAGAGCGTCGGGTAAATAGCCGTCTTACACCGATCATGCTTCTTCAATCCGTGTACATTCTCAGCGTGCACTTGCGCTTCTATATGGTTGAATCGTTTGTCGATATTGGACGGCCAAACTCAACTTACCATAGGTACATGATTGTTGCTATCAAGAGAGATCTGTTGAATCAAGCAGTGATTTCTCACCAAGATTGCCTGTGCCTAGGACCGACACCACGCACCGCAACATCCTCGCACAGAGTGTGGCTTCCTACAAGATTATGGAAATCATTCCTTTCTGCGTGTAAGCAGACGTCGATGTCACGAGTTGTTGTTAATAATCTTCCGTAGGTCAACTCACTTCTTTGCCCTGTATTGGACCTCAGGCACGATTTTCATTTCCGGAGCATACGCGCAATATCTACGATATAACCCGAGCCAGCTTGGCCTTTTATCACGAGATATCGATCTTTTGTATGCTTCGAGTTGAATAAATGATTACATCATGGCCACTCTCCAAAAGTGCATCACAGAAACACAGGGCAGCGCCAATACAAGCACTAGTCGTACCGCAAGATTATCGATCAATAGTGCATCAGAGTGTTGAGAAGAAACTTGCACTAGATTGTTCTAGTTGTCAAGAGTTCGCTCCCTTCGAATCGCAAGGAGCGTTGCAGCCTCAAAAGTTCCACCATGTTTACAACTCACGAAAACGTCTAAAAAATATCATCGCAACCACCGCAACACTAGCCTATGCGTTAGATTAAGCGAACCAACGAAAAAGATAGCAATCTCCGGTCGTACTATACGTTTACACCTTGTTATGCGGGCTCGCTGTCGTACCTGGAGGTGTGTCAGAAGCATAGAACAAGACCATCAGCGGACTCGGTTGTTTTCACACTTTCATAGAGGTGACTCTTATATGCAATCGCGTATCTAGAGCCGGAAAAGAGAGAATGCTGTTGAAAATCAATTGCGTCTACACACAAGTATCATCATTCAAAATCCCTCTGCAACCGTGCCCTATTAGCATTCCGTCCAACCACCTCCACCAACAGACCTACAACTTCTCCAACCGATTACTCCCCAAAATCTTTCCACCGTCCAGCACAATCGTATCCCCATTAACATGCCCACCTCCCCTACTTGACAAAAACACCACCGCAGCTGCGACATCCTCCGGCCGCCCGACCCTCCCATTCGGACTCTGCTTGCCCAGCTCCTCCTCGCCGCCCTGCGCATTGATCAAGCCCGCCGCCATCTTGCTCATGAAGAACCCCGGCGCAATGCCGTTCACTAAGATGTGTCTGGGGCCGAGCTCAATGGCCAGATTGCGTGCCAAGTGTAGCACGGCGGCTTTGGAGGCGGCGTATGAGTAGGCGCCGACTGCGCCAATGGAACCCACGCCTATTCCAGCGACGGAGCCGGTTACTATTACGCGGGAGGGGGATTCGACGGAGGAGCGTTTTGTGAGGAGGGGGGTGAATCTGTGTTTGTCAGTATGGATTGTCGTGAGATGGTGGGTGGGGTGGATCACTTTTGGATGGTGAAAAATACGCCTTTGACGTTTAGATCCATGACTTTATCCCATCCGTTCTTCTCGTCTACTTTCTCGAATTCACTGCCCCATGTTGCGCCTGCGTTGGCGAAGAGGATATCGACATGATCCGTATGCTTCTGCACCTCTTTCACCAGTCTCTCAATCTCAGAGAGCTTCGAGCTGTCTGCTGGAACCGAGATGGCTTTTGCGCCTGGCGCCAGGTTCGGGAGCGCATTGAGTGCTGCTACGGCTTCTTCGCAGGCGCTCGCCTTGCGCGATGTGATGAAGACCTTGGAACAACCGGCTTGGAGAAGACCAGAGGCGGCGTGGAGTCCGAGGCCACGAGACCCTCCGCTGACGACTGCGACTTTGCCGTCGAGGCGGAAAATAGAGGAGAAGTCTGTAAGCTGGACGTCGGCTTTTGCTGACATATTAGAGGCGTGGAGGTTCTGAGTCTGGTGATGACGGGAAAATGAAAGTGACAGCAAGGAGGGTATCAATCAGGTTTACAGGTATGATGGGGATAAATTGTAAGTACAATTCCGGAAACTGTATGTTTCGTCGTTGTCAACCAACCTCGGTGCTCGACGTTTGTTCATTGCGATATCATTGTACCGAGGTACAATTCGCACTAGCTCAGAGGGGTAATGAGCTGACATGGGAAGGCAGGGCCTGCGACATGTATACCATCTCGTACATTTGGGCCATTACGAAGCGCTTTTAGTGTCGGTGTTGGTGTTTTTGACATGAGGTCGTGACTGATGAGCAGCATTCATTCGTGTAGCACTTGCCGATACCGGCACCGTCCCACATTTACACACGCTTATTGCCGGCATCTGTCGTGTGCCAATGCTCCGTTCCCTACGGAGTAGATGCATGTAGTTTCGGAGTGATAGATAACACGTCTTCAAGAGACATAAAACAAGAGTACCCAACTGTCCTCCCAAAAATACATCAGACAATCATCATGGCCGCCAACGGCCCAGACAACACACCCCCAACACCAGCATACTTCCCCACCTCCGCCGACTCCCCACTACACCCACCCACCGCCTTATACCAAAAGCTACGGGACCTGAAAGAAGATGCCTTGACCAAAACCCAGGACCTGACTGTCCCACCGCGCTCCGGCCGCGCCTGGCGCGTCCCCGCAGGCTCCCTCTTCCGCCTCTCAACTCCCGAAGGACCCCAAGTAGGCGACCTAAACATATGGAATGCCTCGGACCCACGCGAGCGCTTCTGGGCCGCACGAACGCGGCAGCTGCAGGGGAGTCATATGATTGAGGGAGATCGTTTGTGGTCGAATCTGCCATTCATGCGGCCGCTCGCTGGCATCATTCGCGATGGATGTCTGATCAAAGACGGACCGGGAAGTGGAAAGAATGGCGGGAGGGAAGAGAGCAGGGATGAGAGGGGAGGGGTTACACGTTGGGGAGGCAGATGTCATGATCTTCTGGGGACGCGATGTGACCCGTACATTTCGAGCGTGATTTCGGGGACGGATTATGATTTCCACTGTCATTCGAACCTCGTGCGAGCGGTGCTGCCACATGGGTTGACGGAGTTCGATGTGCACGATGTGCTCAATGTGTTCCAAGTCACCGGGCTTGATAGCCAGGGGCGGTATTTCATGGAGGCAAGCCCGGCGACCAAGGAGAGCACATTGACGTTTTTTGCTGAGCAGGATTTGCTGTGTGCGTTGAGTACGTGTCCCGGTGGGGATCTGAGTGCCTGGGGGTGGAGCCAGGCGGATGAGAGTAAGGCGGAGGAGGGGAGGGATATGAAGAGTACGTGTCGGCCGATTAGGGTTGAGGTGCTGGAGATCAAGGATAAGGGAGTGTTGGCGGGGTGGAAGAAGCCGGAGAGGAGTGGGTATAAGGGGTGTCATGGGATGACGATAATTGGCGGAGAGGCATGATTGTGGATCCAGTTGTATGAAGAACACTGAGAACGATTGAATGGAATCCAGTTGGGATGAAAGTCTGATATGCTGTGATTTGGTATACCTATGTACACTTTTGAACACCAAGCTCCAATACCAATGCGATTTCAACTTGAGATTGAACCGAAGAAGAAGAAGAAGAAGAAGAAGAAGAAGAATAAGAGAAGTCAGTAATTGATCGATCAGACACCCGCACTCTTGACATCAGCCTGCTCGCCGCTTACCATCGCCTCCAACTTCTCAACATGTGTGCCATTCTGCTTGTCAGCACTCTCACCAGTTCTCAGGGGGCTGCCCTCAATACTCGGGATCTCCAAAGTGTTCGACCTCTTCGGTCTAAACGGAATCGGAGTGCTCGGTCTCGAAGACAAGAACTATTCACATTAGCCTACTTTCTCCAAATCGACTCTTGATCATGCACCCATACCGAAGAAGCCGCACTCAACAGCGCAATCAAAGACGCCTGCACAACATCATGGTGAATACCCACACCCCACACCTTCTGGCTTCCACCCGCAACGACACATCCAATGTACGTCGCAGCCTTGGCATCCTTGTTCGTGCCGATTGTGTGCTCGTTGTAATCCACAACATCCAGCTCGATTCCCAGACCCCTCAGCGCATCGGCCAGAGACGAAATAGCGCCGTTGCCACTTCCCTGGATTTTGTGCTCCTGGCCGTCGATCTCGAGAACGCCCTTGAAGATACGGCGCAGGTTTGAAGTCTTGTTGGTCTTGCCCTCCTGCGGCGGCTCGGGGGTCTTGGAGCGGTCGGCCACGATGTCGTAGTCGATGAGGCCGAAGCGCGGGTTGCGCTTGAGATGGTACGCTTTCTCGAACAGCTTTGTGATCTCTGTGGGCAGCAGCTCGCGGCCAAGGCTATCCGTCTCCTTCTGCACGATCCTGGAGAAGGCGATTTGCAAGCCGCGCGGCAGGTCGAGCTCCAGCTGGCGCTGGATGATCCAGGCCACGCCGCCCTTGCCGGATTGCGAGTTGACGCGGATGATGGCTTCGTATGTGCGGCCGATGTCCTGCGGGTCGAGGGGCAGGTAGGGGATCTGCCAGGGGGATTCGTTGGTTGCGTCTTCTTGCTTGCGCTTCTGGAAGCCCTTCTTGATGGCGTCTTGATGCGAGCCGGAGAAGGCGCAGACGACGAGCTGGCCGCCGTAAGGGGCGCGCGGGTGGATGGGGATCTTGTTGCAGGTCTCGACCATGTCGATGATGGATTTTAGGTCGGAAAAGTCGATCTTGGGGTGGACACCCTGCGTGTACAGGTTGAGCCCGAGGGTCACGAGGTCGACATTGCCAGTGCGCTCGCCATTACCAAACAGGGTGCCTTCTACACGGTCCGCGCCAGCCATCTGTGCGAGTTCTGCCGCTGCGACGGCGCAGCCACGGTCGTTGTGGGGGTGCAGAGACACGCAGATCTTCTCGCGCTCGGTGATATTCCTGCAGAAGAACTCGATCTGATCGGCGTAGACGTTCGGCGTAGCCATCTCGACCGTCGCCGGCAGGTTGAAGATGATGGGGTCCTCGACCGTAGGCTCCCACGCAGCCTTGACTGCCTCGCAGACCTCCAGCGCAAACTCAGGCTTGGAGTCGGAGAACGTCTCGGGCGAGAACTCGTAGTGCCAATGCGTTCCTGCCTGCTCTGGGTCGTCCTTGGTGATTGATCTCGCGTACTTTGTGCACTCGACTGCCAGGGCGAGTGTCTCCTCGTCGTTCATGTTGAAGACGATCTGCTGGAAGCACGGGCTGGTCGCGAGGTACAGGTGGAGAATGGCCTGCTTCGCGCCCTTGAGGGAGTCGACGGTGCGGCGGATGAGCTCTTTGCGGCACGGCGACAGGACTTGCAGCCAGACATCGTCGGGTACTATACCGGGAGTTTGGACCAGGCGCTGTGTGAAGTCGAAGTCGGTTTGCGAGGCGGAGGGGAAGGAGACTTCGATCTCCTTGTAGCCGAGTCTTGTGAGCATCTGGAAGTACACCCACTTCTGCTCGCCGTCCTGCCCAGCGTAAGTACATCAATGCCATAGAGCATGCAGTTCCAACAAACCATAGGGTCGACCAGACTCTGATTACCGTCTCTCAGATCCGTTGACAGCCATCTTGGGGGCTTCTCGATTGTCTTGCTGGGCCATGTCCTGTCTGGAAGGTTCAGCGGCTTAAACGCCTTGTACTTCTTCCACGGCTCTGCGAGCATAGGCATCTTTGCTTTCGATGTCCTTCAACGGCCAATTGGCGCAATCAATTGGTGTATGGTGGGTTATTGGTGGCAGCTAAGTCAACCAGTCACAGCAACGTGGTGATTGGGAGCAACGTGGTGATTGGGGGTATCGTGTAAGAGATGGGTATATAGAAGGCAAGGGAGATTGTTTGTGAACGAGTCACGAGCTGTGAATCATAGCAAACAATTTCATCGTGCGAGGCTAAGCCGTCGCCATGCTTGCAGGGCGTATGACGATGCGGGGCGGCGCGCACTGGCGCAAAAGTCGAAAGAATGCGGGGCTCTTCCGAGAAACAGCCCTCCGATCTCGGCCTGTCACAAGCGGCGCGCAAATGAATGAGTGTCGTATGATTGGAAGGCAGTGAGGCGGACTGAACGACAAGGTACGCCTTGCAGTGCAGAGGGTGATAGATGCCATGGACACATCTTACGTCCTCCCACCATGACCCGGGTCCAGCCCTGAGTGATGAATCTACAATAGGGGAACTCTCAACCCGCAACAGTCCACCTCGTTTCCTCTGATCTCGACTCTCCGCCCAAAGTACAGGCTTCCAAACTCCTGCACATACGCACGGTCTGCCTCACTCCATGTGTCGAGGCCCATCCTGCTAAGATCGTCTCGGTCGATCCACAGCGCATCACCCTCCTCGCCTTCTCTTTCTTCGTTCTCATGCTCGCTCTCGATCAGTTGGGACAACACCTTGATCAAGAGCGATGATTGCCGGTGGAAGTATGCAATGACTGCCGTCTCGACCGAGTCTTCGTACTCAGCTATGTCGCCGACAAGCTCGCGGTCAAGATCCTTTTCTGCCGTAGTGTATGCATCTCGCTCTCCAGCGCTCGCCCACCACATGAAGCCCTGGTATGCGAGTCGTGACCATGTGATAGGCTCAACGGCTGTGTCGTCGTAGGCCTCGTTGAAGTCGTCGTCTGCGCGCTTGGCATCGATCTCGTCGTGCGATATCAGCGGTGATGCGTCGTCGTTCTGTTCGTCTTCATCATGGAAAGTCTCAGTGGCCTGCTGGTGGTGCTTCCACAGCTCACGGTGCAGCAGCTTATACCGTGCGACGTCGCGCTGGCTAGCCCTGATCACGTCTCCCTCGCTCGTGCGCAGCTTCGGCCAGTGTCGCTGCTGTGCTTTTGAGCCGTTGACGTGCGGGACCTCGACGACGATGTCGTACAGCTCTTGCTTAGTTGCGATGATCTCGTCCGTCGTGCACGCGACCCAGCCCTCGGCTGTCTCGTGGCCCGGTGTGTGGCCGCCCTTGGGGTTGCGCAGGTCCTCGAGGTAGGGTATGTCGTGCACACCAACGGAGAAGAGTGAGGGGAGGCGGAGGAGGTCCTCGGTGCCCGGCGCGAGGTGTTCGGCGTCGCGCGGGGAGATGCTGGAGAGGACGGAGAGGTTGTAGACTGCACACGTCAGCTTGGTCTGGGGGAAACGTCCGCCGGCACTCACCAAACTCGCATGTCGTCCGCACTGGCGGACTGCCCACGAAGAGGATGCGCTTCCTCAGCAGCGCCGCCTGTTGCAGCCTGAACACCAACGGGCCAAACAAGGTGAGGTACTGCAGTATCGCCAGCGCAGGATGGTACTCGGGCAGCCGCGCTTCGTCCTTGGGTATGGCCGTGACTGTCGAGATTGCGCGATCGCGGATGGACCCCTTGCTGTCTGTGTGCGTTGTTTTCGTCCTGCTCGTCTGATCCGCCCAGAACTCCTCCAAAAGTGCTACCGTCTCCTCCTTAGCCAGCGCTGCCGCAATCTTCTCCAGTCGCCCAGCCAGCAGCCACCCCCTGCCTAGCCGGCCATATCCTCCCTCTCTCCTGACCAACAGGCCAACAGAGACGAAGTTCGCATTCCTGTCCTCTGCACTTGCATCACCCCTGGCGAATGCGCCCAGCCCGGCGTAGCCGTCATGCGTGAAGTAGACGAGATCGTTTGCACGCGTATGTAGGCCGGATGGCAGCGACTTGAACTCAACACCATCCAGGTCTGTGTCGTTGGCGGTGCGTTTCCATGCGATTGTGTAGCTGTACGCGTCAGCATTGCCTGCGCCATGAGGGTGCTCGCCCAACACACCCGACTCTTTTGTCGAACTTGATCAGGAAGAGCGCTTCGACTTGCGGCGCGTCGCTGCTGCTCCCGTCGTCGACGTCAGTCGCGCTCGAGTGTGTCGAGGCCGACATGGTCGCGTGGTGGGCGCTGGAGTGGTTGTCGCCACGCCCGCGGACGGTGATGCAAGGCCGATGGCAGGGCAGGAGCCGGAGCGTGACGAGGCAGGTGTAGCCGAGAAGGGGGATGATGCAAAGCCACATCCGTCGACCACGGGGCTTCAGTGCCTTCCAGATCAAGCCTTACACTGCAGCGCGATTGTTCGATTGCTGGGTTGTTGTCCTGAAGTCGGTTTTGATGACGGTGCACCCTCCGCCTTCCACAACTTCTGTATGCATCTAACGGGGTCGATTGTGGTTGACGTTACCACTAAACACGGCGCCGCCCACGTTGATCCCATAAGTTGGAAGGTCCAGAGCTGTCAGCACTCCCGGAGGTCTGCTCTTCGAATATTCATTGAGCTCGAGGCTTTCTGTGTGCAACACGCCAAATACCTCGATCGAGACGTCTAGCTCAAAACTACATCAACCGATCTTGCACCCTCCTCATTCTTCAGTCTGTCTGCCTTCAACGGCAAGCTGATATACTGACAGCATCATCAGACACAGGTCTTACTGTCTAATGCCTTCAGCCTGGGACATCGGTACGTTGGAACCCTCGTTCGCGTCTGACGGCCTTTCCTTGACTCCATTCGAGGACCTGTCTGCTCAGCATCGAAGACGGCACGACTGGTAGCTGACATATTACGCACATCTCACCTGAGCTGTCGCCCCGTGGAGTCTTGACGTGGGGCAGATTCGGAGAGCGGAAACGTGCAACACCATCACTGTCATGTTCATAGACACCCGGTATTATTGACGTCGTTCGGAGCAACTTAGATTGCAAACTTCCGTGCTTGCTGCGTATGCTGTGTTATTCATCTGACAACGTCATCATGTGACATCAGGCAAACCTCTCGACCTGAAAGCAATGCCGCTTCTCGCACCAAATTAGAGGGCGATGCACTGGGACCGTGTCATAGCTTGATGTTCTTCGCGCCAACCCGACACGTCCGGAGGGGATGTGTGTTATGTACGGTAATTCTCTCCAGTTGGCAGAGAACAGTTAGAAGCATTCCCACTGATGCTTCTCCATGCGCTCCATCCGTCTTTCTTGCCTTCTCTCCTCATGCTCGTTCATCCGCCCCAACACTTTTCTTTTCCCTGGCACATGAACTCTTTTTCACCACGGCAAGTCTCCACGTCTGCTCGAAGCATTCCAGCGATGCTTGCGCAAACGGCTGTAGCCACTAACCCCGTACCAACACAAGCTCCAGCAACCGTTCACAGTCCCACACGTAGATACGCAATTCCTTGTACCTAAGCAATTGACTGACCATCAAGCCCCTGCTCTCTCCAACGCTACCTCAGCTCTCCAGGTCAGCACGCGGCAGTCTAGTGTAGCCACCACACCAGTCGCGAACACTGCTAGCATCCCCACCACCATCTTGCCGGCACCTGCGTACATTCCCGCAACTTGTAAGTATACCAGCTGATGATTGAGGTGCAGCCACTGACAATCGCAGGCTTCAACCAGGCCGTACCCGCACCCTTCGCTCCCTAGCCTTATGCCTTCCCAGCGCCTACGCCGCGCTTCGCCCAGCCGCTATCCACCTGCCCTATCAACTGGACCAACATCGCTGGTTTGACGCAAGAACAAATCGAGGCCTACGAGTCACGAGCTCCGTGGAACCAAGCTCCAGTGATTTTCGAAGCGGTCACTCAACAGACTCGTCACTTGGCAAAGGGCAAGGTGCCTTCCGAAGAGTGCGTCCGCACGCGATTCAAGAAGCAATGCTTGGCTGTTTTCAAGGGCAGACCTTTCGGATCATCTTGACGTGTTTTGAGCGTCTCAAACTGACTGCCTTGACACTTGAAGAGGGAACACAGCTCACCACCTCTTCCATGACGGTTCTCAGACAATGCATTGAAAGTCAAGCGCACTTGAGTCTGGCTGTCGTATCGGCTCTTCAAGACATCCAAGACTACGTGCCGGATGACGAAGACTGCGTACCTAGACCAAGCTCCCGAGACGTTCGAGTGTCTTTGCTCTCTGTGCGTAATGGCTTCAAGGATCGCACAATCAACATACATCCTCGAGCTTATCCACGGGTCACCGAAGACATCTTGGTGGAGGAGCATTGCGTGGCCGAACTCAACATTGAGTGCATGCCACCTTGAGATCTGCGATTCCGCCTCCGACCCCCGGCAAACCATCCGTGTCTGGAGCTTCGATGGCCATCACTTCCCCATCTCACTCGACCCCGCCTCATCGGGGTCAGTCTACTCTCATAGAACCCGTTCTATGTCAGTAAAGACGAGGGCAACAGCCACTTCAAATTCCAGAATCTTACTCACCTAGAAGTCATTCTTTGTGAGCGAGAAGAAGGACTTTTTGCATGGATGGCCGCTCGGTACACACCGAAAGGGTACAGGCGCATTATGCTCAGCTCGACGAAGACATCTGGAAACATTGCATGCAACTGGCATCTGCTTCAATGACAACTTGTAGCACGCGAAATACATTGAAATCTCCAAACGATCACCATTTGCACACATTTCGTGCACCCCTCTATCTTGTTTGTATCATCGAAAGGGCTACAGGCATGTCAGTCTTACCCAATTTTTCTGTCTCACCACAGTAACGCCAGGAAAATCTGGTCCAGAAACATATATAGTCAGAGCGCTAATCTGTGACAATGATGACTGGCCCAGAACCTACCTCGCACGTTCTCTCATCTCACTCCAGTACTATCGAAGCCATCAATCGCTTGTGTGTAAGCCCTCTCACTCCGGTCTCTCGCTCTGCAAAACCCAGAGATCTTTATCATTGCTCTGACGGACCCACGCAGAATATCTTCGCCAACCTCGCGACTCAAGAAGACCTAGGCCAGAGGATGAGGTCGCTATGAAGTTGATGCATGCACCAGCCTGGCAAAACAATGTTTTATTCACGTCTATCCCGATCTAGATATTATTTGAGGCGTCAATTCACGGCATCCGCTCTCATGCCTGTAAGATGGAGCATTGTAACTGCAGTATGATAAAGCACATTTGCATTGTGCCACTTCTTTTTTGATCATGGAGCATCAGTCAAGTCGAAGTTAAACCTATCGCGTACATGTCTAAGCAGAAGAGAAGCCGTGACTCGACAACTGGTTTGGCAAGAGAGCCCGACGAAAATCTCTCGGTGCTTTCCATGCACGTGCACTCAACTAAGCAGTAAAGTCGCCATGCTAGTTGCAGCATCTCAGAGCTGGGGAGAAGATTATCAACGATGTTGATTGCTGTCAGCCACCTAATCTTACGTTGCCATTTCGTCGCAACATCGGTTTTCATACATGTTCAAAATCACCTCATCATCGCTGAAAGGTAGTCATACATCTAAATGACTATTAATCGTATCCTTCGCATCCAGCGTTTCAAACGGGCAGTACTACGAACAGTAACCGTACAGTAGTACGGCTTAAGTTAGCAGTCAGTCCGTGGTGAGGGTACAGGCAGTAGCGTAGTCGTACCGTAGTAGCAATAGCAACCGTAGTACTGCCGTTAATAGCAACCGTAGTACTGCCGTAATTGGTGTAGCCCTGAGATGGTTATGGTGAAGTATCAAGTTGGACGGTAAGGCCTTACAACTTTCTCAAGAATTGGCTACGTCACCGGCTTGTTGTGAGCCACTACGGGCAGCTGGAGGATGAGATAATTGGGCAAGATGATATGGGTACAGAGGCCTCCCAAAGCTCCAATTGACCGACTGACGTTGAAGAGTGGGGCGCCTAAACTATATCAGGCAACTACGGACCGTAGTTTAGGTCAATTGAACAATTATCACTACTGTCCGTACTCTCCAGCTCCTTTACCGTAACCGTACAGTAGTACTGACTGTTGGAAACGCTGTTCGCATCTCATGTGGCATTGCCAGAGGCGCCAGCTATCGCCCACTCCTGCTTGATCTTCTGTGCCTTGACCTTTGCATTTTCTGCAGCTTCGAGTTCAGTTATGACATAGTATTATCTACACCAATGTTTGGTCCAAGAGTAATGTTACCAGATTTTAGGAATCACGACTAACGCCGTTCAGGGCCAAGCAAGTTGACATCGCATGCTGGTACCCTAACGCTGCTTAGACTACACGTAACTCCTCCCTGACTACTCTCTCTGCCTTGAAACCCTTCTCGCGTATCAACCCTATCCACTGGTGCGCATCATCGTACCTACTCAGTCACCATGCCCGTCTCACGTACCACACCATGCTTCCTCTCGCCTTTCTCACAACCTCAACACTCGCGCAAAACACCAACACCACAGATTCCTCAAATGTTAATTGTTACACCCCCTCATACGGTTTTTCCAGGTCTGGTCGATGTTTCTGCCACAGCACCCATCGCGCGCCGCGGCGCGTCAACGCAGAACTGGTTCCTAACCGTGACTCTAAACGACACGCGCACGCCCACCACCGCAGATCACGAGATCTGGGCGTGGCTTAGCACGCCGGGGAACTCGACGGGACGGGCGTGTGTGCACCTGCTCAACGTATTGTAAGATCCCCAGAGAAACGGGAACGCAGGGTGCGCGGGGAGTCTGAGCGATAACTGCATCGACTTCATCGAGCGGAGCATGCTGCTAACCAACGCCGATGTACAAGCTGAAGATTGTCCTAATCTGCCTTGTCGTGACGTCTTTGCACGAGAATGCGGCGACACATTAGGGCAAGTTTTCGCCAGCGGTCCGTTGCAGTGTTTGCTGGCGGTCCGCTGCACTGATTGTCTAGCTCATTCGGTTAGTTCAGTCTGCTTCCCATCCCTTCACTGCTAATCCCTTCTACTATATAGTCCCGATCGATCCTCGCCACAGCTCACAAGAGAGATCAATCAACTCAACCATCTCAACCCTTCCACAGCAAGACTATACCGGCACGCTGTCCACCTGGCTTCCCTGTCCGCATTGAACAATGTAGATTTCTGATATTCTGTAGCGGGGAGCTCTGACCCCATCAACCTATCCAACAATATCTGTACGGACCGGCGCATCCCGGAGTCTGATCAACCTCCGGACAGTTACAGTACTCATGGGTTGTTTGGGATTAGTGGGTTTGGCAATGAGAGGAGCGATCGGGGAGCTCCGAGTGAATTCACGTGGTATGATAGATACGTCATCCAGTCCATGCCGGGGATCGTTGCGGAGGAGGAGAATAGGGAGAGTAAGACACGAGTGGTTTGTGTTACGCCTAGGTGGATTAGTAAGGGGGAGTAGGAATCAACGGGCAAGTGCTGCGGAATGAGTGCAAGGTAACTGGTTCGGTATCGTGGTTGCTATCGCTATTCTAGCTCTGTTGTAAGAAGGAAAAGAAGATCGACAAGAACTGGGGTGGAGATAGAAATGAAGTGGTAGATTGTTGCGGTATCAGACTGCTGCAATATACGTTACACATGAGCCTCAATACACATGGTTGTAACGGGTCATGTTTAGCACGTTTCAAGTCATGTAT